ACTCGAGTGGGAGACGGCTTGAGGTGTGGGGACTGAGAGCGGTGGTGATTTGCCCAGGCAGCGCAGCGCGTGCTATCAAGATTCTTGAATCTATCTGTGAGGAGCTGTGGGTGTCCTGTGCGCGCTGGGTTTTATTCGGGTTCTGTGGTTCCTTGCCACGTGGGGCCGAGCGCTCATTGTCGGCTGCAAGCCACGCATCTCAATGTAGGCAGGACCCTCCTCGGAGGGAGCCTTGAGACTCACTGAGCCCCCCCCCTCCCCCAGGGTAGAATGTAGTATTACTTGAAAGTGCGTATAAAACATGAAAACAACATCACCGGTTTAAAAATTCAACAAGCATCAATTTCTTATTGCATTAAGGCATCGTCACGCCCTGGGGATTTTAGCATCATTCACTAGGCTGGTCAGTGCGGGTTGGCGATAACCTTCCAGTTGTAACCTCCGCCCCCCCCCCCCCCCACGGGAAATTCAACAAATTGCATCCCGTGCCGCACCACGCCCGGCCGTTTTTGTATCCTCAATGCTGATGCTTGCACGCGGCATTCTGGCAAAATGCTGGCAAAATTCTAGCAAAATCGCCCGATGCTGCTGGAAATAATAAACCAGCGAAACGTCGTGCTCAAAATGTAAATGTTGTGGCTTTACTCTCCAACACACTGAAGTAGTAACTGATTGGCACGGTTTGTTTCCGTGACAACCCTTTACTGGTTGGCTGTGTCGGGTGGTGGCGGGCTAACGACACATTTACACTTACGCGATCTCACCCCAAAAATGTATTATTCATAATATTGGTCGTCAAAGCCTCTTACGTGTCAAACTGTCACGATAACGAGTTACTCATTTAAGGGCTGGGTGGACCTTGTGCAATCCCAGGACCAGTGCAGATAATCGTCACCAATGTTAGCCGCCGGGAATCGAACCGCAAGTCGTAGTCCAGTGCGCTAACCGCAGCGCCACCGCTCCCCAACAAATATACCGACAAGCATTCATACAAATTAAAGGCCTCCCCCCAGAGCCATACAGACTGCTTTGGGCGATTGCCACACGAGGGGTGAGTGGCTAGCACCACACCCGGCCGCCTTTGTCTCCCCAGTGGCGAACCGGTTAGTCATTTGAGGCTGAGTCGACCTCGGGGAGGCCCAGGACCACACACACACATACGAACACAATGACACTGACGCGCACGCACACACGCGCACGCACTCTGTGGCGCGCACACAGCGTGGGTTCACAATCATGAATGATTACAAATAAATGCCAGACGCCTGCGTGATCGCGCGCCCGTGATGAACGCAGTGGAACTCGTCATGGTGACACCCCCCACTCCTCACTCACCACACAAACAACCAGAGGCGAGGCGGGGGGTGCTTTGTTCCACAACCCCCACCCCAGCCCTTAACACTGTTGGGGGCAAGCACTGTTCGCACCGATGAAAGCCGACACGGGCACACGCGGGGGTGGGTGCGTGGGGGGGTGGGTGGCCAGCGCCACGCCCGGCCGTCTTTGTCTCCCGAGTGGCGATGCTTTTTTTTTTTTTTACTCATCGCACCAGGTACTCATTTGAGGCTGAGTCGATCTAGGGGAGGCCCAGGACCGGTTCAAATGTTTGGCCACTGCTATTGGTCGCGAGCGGGAATCGAACTCGGGGTCTCGCCGGGTTCGTAGCGCAGCGCGCGAAAGCGTCGCGCCACCGCTCCCCAGCACTTTGTTTGTATCACAACCACGACGACCACCACCAGAGCCACCAATCACCACCAAATTATCAGCTGTACCGCCACCACCGCCATCTCCAAGTCCACCACCACCAGTGAGCACCTCTCCCCCAGCTCCCACCACCAACCACAACAACCCTCGCAACCACAATTCCTGCGTTCCGTTCAGCCGCAACAACTTCGCCTGTTCCCCTCCGGCCAAAGGCACCTCCGCTGCCCGTGAGATGAGTGGCCGCTAAACGCGCCGCGGAACGAGATGCCACATTGGCATCACGGACACAGCCAACCGCCCCCCCCCCCCCCGGGGGCTGTCTGTGTGGATGAGGGTTAATGGTGCACGATACCAGCGGTTGTCAACATCGGCCTCTGTGTAGGAGGAGGCTCGTGAAGGACGCTGCTGCTGCTGCTAGGCAGTTGGAGGCAGTCGCCCCTCCAGCAACAACGGAGGGCAGCAGAGGAGCGACGCTCACAACAACGAGCGGGGCGCAGGGCGAATAAAACACAGCTAAGTTGGCACAGTAGCGGGCACGGGTGGTGCATCGGCCAGTCATCTCAGTCATCTCAGTCAGTCGACCCATGGCACCCACTGGGTCTGTCGCGTGGCCTCCTGCCAGCGGGCGTTCGACACTTCACTTGGCCTTAAAGTGCACATAGCCTGGCACAAGCGCCGTGGTTACATTACTGAATGGCGGTTGTTGTTGTTGTTGGTGCACGGTGCTGTGTGCTGCGAGGGTGGGGGGTTAGGGGGCTGTGGGGGGTTAGGGGGCTGTGGGGGGTTAGGGGGCTGTGGAGGAGTACGGTGGCGAGATGTTAATTCCCTCGCCTGGTATGCAGGAGGTCATGGGTTTGATCCCAACTCTGACGCCTGCTGTATATATGGAGTTTGTGTCTCTCTCGCTCTCTCCCCGTGGTCACCGTGGATTTTTATAGTTTTTGGTTACTGCTCTAGGTGATGAGAGAGGCGTGGGAGTGCAGGGTTATTCAACATCATCAACAGCAGCAGCAGAAACCGCGGGAGGAATTGGCCGCCCAGATAAAAGCATGAGCCCACTCTATTGACCATTGACCCCGTCGGCTACTAACCCGTCAGGTGACCCATTGATATAACAAGTTGGACCACCACCTCCTCCCATTGGCTAAGGCATCAATGTACATCGTACAAGATTCACCACCAACCCATTAAAATACAATTCGTCCATCAGATAAAGAAAGCATTACACTGCCAGATAAACCGTAACCTGTGCAATATTTTTGTTCATTAATCCACCTGCTGGATGAAGGCCCTATCCCCAGTACCGTGCGGGACGTGGGGGTTATTATGTTTTTGTCATACTTCATCACTCTGGTCAGTACGGATCGGTGAAAAATCGGAGCATAAAACGATTGATTTTGCTACACTAACCCTCTGCTGCCCATAAAGTACACCTGCAGCAGCCGATAGCACCTGCGATACACGGGTAGTCGCCTGTGCAAGCCCGATCCAATCACCTGGAATGTATTCGTATGCTCTACGGGATCTCAGAAGATAAGCAGGCGTTTGAGCCTGCAAATTATAATTCAGCGAAGCCACGGGCCACTAAATTAAGGTACCGATTTCTGTTCGAGATAAGCCACCAAACTATAAGAATCGACGTGGGGCATCAGTTGAAGTAACCTCCCCAAACTCGGACCCAAACAACTCACCATCCAGTCACGTTTAACCAAACATTCAAGCGCTCACCCACCCAACCGGCCATCCAACCATTTACCAAACCAACCGCTCAGACATTGAATCACTCAATTAACCAGCCAGTTACACTAAATCAACCCGATAACCTACCAGCCAGCTACTCACCTACCCTAACCAGTAAAACAACTCACCACTCACCCACCCACCCACCCAACCACTCACTCACCCACCCACCCACCCAACCACTCACTCACCCACCCACCCACCCAACCACTCACTCACCCACCCACCCACCCAACCACTCACTCACCCACCCACCCACCCAACCACTAACCACCCACCCACCCACCACCCACCCAACCACTCACCCACCCACCCACCCAACCACTCACCCACCCACCACCCACCACCCAACCCACCCACCACCAACCACTCACTCACCCACCCACCCACCCAACCACTCACTCACCCACCCACCCACCCAACCACTCACTCACCCACCCACCCACCCAACCACTCACTCACCCACCCACCACCCAACCACTCACTCACCCACCCACCCACCCAACCACTCACTCACCCACCCACCCACCCAACCACTCACTCACCCACCCACCCACCCAACCACTCACTCACTCACCCACCCACCCACCCACCACTCACTCACCCACCCACCCACCCAACCACTCACTCACCCACCCACCCACCCAACCACTCACTCACCCACCCACCCACCCAACCACTCACTCACCCACCCACCCACCCAACCACTCACTCACCCACCCACCCACCCAACCACTCACTCACCCACCCACCCACTCACTCACTCACCACCCACCCACCCAACCACTCACTCACTCACCCACCCACCCAACCACCACCCCCTCACCCACCACCCACCCAACACTCACTCACCCACCCACCCACCCAACCACTCACCCACCCACCCACCCAACCACTCACCCACCCACCCACCCAACCACTCACTCACCCACCCACCCACCCAACCACCACCCACCCAACCACTCACCCAACCAACCAACCACTCACCCAACCAATCACTCACCCACCGAACCACTCACCCACCCAACCACTTACCCAACCAACCACTCACGAAAACAACCAGTCAGCCAACAACGAATTCATCCAGCCACCCACCCATCTCAACCGTCAACCAGCCACTCGCCCGTCCACCACCGGCACACATCGACTCGCTTCTCCGATCCGACGACTTTTCTCCCATCCACCTCCCCCTTTCACGCGAACCCCTCGACCCAACCCGACCCGGTCCTAGCCGAGCCGAGCCACGCTAGAGCCAAACCGAGTCGCGCTAGAGCCGAGCCTAGCCGCGCTAGAGTCGAGCCGAGTCGAGCCGAGCCGTGCTAGAGTCGAACTAATCCGAGCCGCGCTAGAGCCGAGCCGAGCCGCGCTAGAGCCGAGCCGAGCCGCGCTAGAGCCGAGCCGAGCCGCGCTAGAGCCGAGCCGAGCCGCGCTAGAGCCGAACCAATCCGAGCCGCGCTAGAGCCGAGCCGAGCCGCGCTAGAGCCGAGCCGAGCCGTGCTAGAGTCGAGCCAATCCGAGCCGCGCTAGAGCCGAGCCGAGCCGCGCTAGGGCTTCACCTGGCGATGCGGCCGGTGCTGGACGTGCACCTGCGAAGAGCGCCCAGAGCCCGATGAGTGCTCCCCGTGTCCACCTCATCACGACTCCTCCTCCACCTCCTCCTCTTCTTCCACCACCACCTCCTCCTCCTCTTCACCTGATGATGCTCGTCCGACTGGCAGTGGTGATGCTGCTGCTGCTTGTTGCTGATGCTGCTTGCTGATGATGGTAATGCAGATGATGATAATACTGCTCGCGCAACTGATGGTAATGCTGATGATGATACTGCTGCTGCTCTTTATGCCGATGCTACTGCTGCTTCTGGTGATGATGTTGGTATTGCTACTGCTGATGCTACTGATTCTGATGCTACTGCTGCTGATGCTACGGCTGCTGCTGCTGCTACTGACGATGACACCGACGCTGCCGCTGATGATGCAGCAGCTGATGCCGATTCCGCTGACAATGGAGCGATTATTGCCTAGACGGGGTGGAGCGAGAGCGCCTATTGTTTGCTGGACGGTGATGGTGGTGGTGGGGGCACTGTGATGCTGTCGATGCAGTCGAGGATGGAGGTGAACGTATGCTCTGCCCTGTTTGTGTGTCTCTCTCTCTCCTCCTCCTCTCTGAGAGCACAGAGAGCAGCCGCCGGGAGAGACAGCGGAGAAATGGGAGACGGAGTGGAGTGGTGGGGGGGGGGGTTGGTTTGGAGGAGGGGGGGAGGGGTAGCGATGGTGATGATGTTGGGGGCTGGGATGGCAGTGGGGAGCCGAGAGGTCCGGAGAGGTGGGGGGGGGGCACTGGGTGGGGATGGCGTGAAATTGAGGATGACGGCATCGGAGTGTTACGTGACGCCCCTGCCTCTGGTGATGTCATAGTTCAGTGGTTGCACTCTGTGTGGTGACGTCATGGTTCTCAATGCTCGAGTCAATATTCACAGCGCCGGAGCAGCACGCCGTGGTGTGTGTGTGTCATGTTGAACTTCTTTCGCACCGGTAGTTGCGACGCAGGTAAGACTCGCCGAGTCTCAGAGCTCGCTGGGGTGTCTAGCCAATGTTTGTGGGTTTTTTTTGTCTTTGTGTAACGGCAGTGCCAATGTTTGTGGGGTTTTTTTTGTCTTTGTGTAACGGCAGTGCCGGATTAAGCTCGTGCGGAGCCTGTAATATATGTTATAAAGGGGCCCTACGATTTAAAAAAGCACAAATATTAAAACACAAATTTTGAAATTTGCATGATAAAGTAATTGTATTTTGTCATTTGCTGTACAGTCGGATAATACGACAAATCGTTAAGCTTAAACACCCAGTCCTTCGTAAAAGTCAAAGGCGGTATAGTACTATAGTAATAGAGCAAGTGCAGAATCACTGAACCGGAATTGATAGATTGAAAGCATTTAGCGCGGGGGCCCTTGAAGGTGTGGGGTCCGGAGCATGTAGCTGCTACATGTGTAGTTACTACACGTGTTGTAGCTACTACATGTGTAGCTACTACATGTGTAGCTATTACATGTGTAGCTACTACATGTGTAGCTACTTGTGCTACTGGGATAATGCGGCACAGCGTGTAGCGGCTCGGACGACGATGTGATCGGAGCCACTTTATTGGTCCACGGACAGGACACGGGGCCCTTGGGCTACGTCCTTACCTGCAGCTCGTCACCCCCCCCCCCAGCCCCCCCAATCTGGAACCTACTTGTCCTTGTGTGTTGTTGTTTTTCTTCCTTAGCCCAATCACAGCCGTTCCCCTCTAAGGGACCCGCTCTGTTTTCCGCTTAACCGCATTTTAAACGTATTCCTCCAATCCCTTTAAAAGTCTGCCTACCGACCAATCACCGCAGAGGCGCCTTTCGACCAAATCGGAGACCTTTGTATATTTTCAAATTTTTATTTTCAAATAGTCTATTGGATTTTGGGGTCATTGTTCGGTCATTGCATTCGCACCAGAGTGCTTGAGCGATGTGTGGTGTGGGGAGCGGTAGTGTGGCGGTTAGCGCGCTACGCTACGAACCCGGCAACCCGAGTTCGATTCCCGCTCACGGCCAACACCAGTGACGATTATCTGAACCGGTCCCGGTCCTGGGCCTCCCCTAGGTCGACTCGGCCTCAAATGAGTACCTGGTGCGGTGTGTAAACATCGCCACTGGGGAGACAAAGGCGGTCGGGCGTGGTGCTGGCCACCCACCCCCTTGTGTACCGTTGATTGCTAACAGCACTTGCCCCTACAGTCTGTTACAGTCTGTTACAGTCTGTCACAGGCTATACGGGGGACCTTTGTCTTTGGTGTGCAAACGTTTGCACTTGTTCCGGTGTGGAACACGAGCAGCGGAGTTGAGAGCGATCACCTCCAGCTGCGACCGGGACAGCACCGAGTCTCAACCCACGGGGCCGTTCCATCGTGGGGGGCTTTTCAAGCAAGGTTCCGCGTTGTTGGCATTCGGCGGCTGACGGCGAGTAGCCGAGTGGATGATGATGATGGTGGTGATGATGATGATGAAAACATCGGGTGTTCTGGGCGGGCTATAAAGCTGCAAGGTGGCTCGCAAAAGCACACGAATGCCAAAAACCAAAGTGCAAACCACCAACATGCAACGCTTGTCAATAACAGCGTGGCCTTCAGAGGAGAGCAGATAAATCATCGGCGACGTCCGGGGGGGCAATGTGTGCCTGCTGTACTGCCAACGCCGCAGCGTCGCCAAATCGTTTGACTAAAATTTGCAGCGCAACGTTTGGTGGCATTGTTACCCCGCCCCGCCCCGCTCCCCCCCAATATTTTCCGTCCATCTTCGTCACGACTCCGGCCCGGCTCTGGCGCGAGTGAGCTGGCTCAAAGCCACGCGCGCGAACTAGAGTCGGGTCCGAGCCATACGGCGCCAGTCAGCGGCGCTCAGGATTTCCCCTAGCCGAGGCCGAGTCGAGCCACACGGCGGAGCCTCGCTCCGTCTATGAACAGCCTCCTACTCCTCCGTCTTTGGGAGCTGCTGAGCGGCACAAGCGGCAGCCGAGCCACTCTTTAGAGGTCACGCCCGAGCCAGTCTTTAGAGGTCACGCCGAAGCCACTCTTTAGAGGTCACGCCCGAGCCACTCTTTAGAGGTCACGCCCGAGCCACTCTTTAGAGGTCACGCCGAAGCCACTCTTTAGAGGTCACGCCCGAGCCACTCTTTAGAGGTCACGCCCGAGCCATTCTTTAGATGTCACGCCCGAGCCACTCTTTGGGGGTCACGCCCGAGCCACTCTTTAGAGGTCACGCTCGAGCCACTCTTTAGAGGTCACGCCCGAGCCATTCTTTAGAGGTCACGCCGAAGCCGAGAGCTGCGTCTTAGGAACGCGGCCCAGAGATCCAAAACTCAGGTGTTCGGATCTAGGGAGCCGGTCAAAGTCATGGGTGTGACTCGACTCTGTGATGATGTAACGGCACTTTTTTTAAAAAATCAAACGCACAAAACAATTGACGCTTGGTTTTATTATTTGTATAAAATTTTTGTATTAAAATGGTTGTTCATTATTATTGCTGATGGAAAGAGTTCGTCGCAAATCAAAACATTTCACAATTCAAGAAAATGTTGACGTTCATTTGTTGTTAAGGTTTTGAGTGGAAGTCGCCAAATGTTCACTGCAGTCCGAGGCACCATCGCTGATCGGCGTCTTCACATTGACCTCTCGCGACCACACCAATCATCACCACCACCATCGCTTTGGTCGTCATCATCATCATCACTCGTATTAATCATCACTACTATCAATCGTGTTAATCGTTAGTTGTATAATCAACATCTCTTACATTGGTAATCGTCATGAGCATCACGATCATTATACTCATGTCATTATTGCTATCTTGTTAGTCATCACCACGATCATGTCATCATCTAACATTGGACATCTTTGTGATCACCATCACCACGATCATGTCATCATGATCCCACATTGGTCATCGTCATCGTCGTCGCCACCACGACATCGTTCTCATATTGTCATCATCGTCATCACCACCGTCACCTTTATAATCAGTAGTCAGTAACTCAAGGGAATGAGGCGTTGCTAGCTCAGCAGAATCACTGAACACGAGGAGGATGAGACTCATAGCCGGGCCTCACCGCGTGTTGGGGTAGTGGGGGGGGCAAAGACCACCCCCTCCCCACCCAACCCCTCCCTCCCTCTATGCTGCTGTGCCCCCTGGCGGCAAAGCGGATAAGAGTCGCCGAACACGAATTCACATTCGCCACCCAGCGGCGTGGATTTAGGGTTGTTGGATCAAGGGGTTAAGATTGGGATAATGCGGGAACGGGGGTTCGTGCGAGGGTGACGGTTCGGACCATGTGATGATCAGGGCTGGTACAAGGGTTCGGGTTAGAGCGAGGGTTTGGGTTATTTGGGTTGGGTTTTTGGGTGAGAGTTTAAATTATGGTTAAATTACAGACGTGATTAGCGCAGATGGTTATGTGTAAGGACTGCAGTTATGATTTGGGAAATGGCTATGATTAGGGAATATTGTTTAGAGAGAGAATGAGGGTTTATGGTTAAAGTAAATATTAGAGTTAGGGTTATGATTACCGTTGCTATTCGGATTTGGGTGAGACGGACGGTTAGGTTTTGGGTTAAGCTGAGGATTTAGGTTTAGGGTGGGCATTGGGCAGCATTCTGCTTTGTCGGTGACCCTGAGCCAATGGTGGAAATTCCACAGTACTTTGCCAGGGTTCATTGTCACCATAAGACGTCTTATTCATTGCGAGCGCATTTATTATTCATATTTCCAGTTTTCGCGACCAAGCACAGCCGTTCCCCATAAAATACAAATTTAAAAAAAACAATACATTTTACATTAAACTATAACCTGACAATCACATTCATGACAATCACATTTCGTGAGTATAATCCCAGGCCACCATTTAATTCCCCCCCCCCCCCCCATTACTGCACTCCCCTCCCATGCAGCCTCCCATGTACATAACGAATGCCAGCATGGCGCGCGCGGCGATGGTGTGACCGGAATCGCTGCGGATTAGCTGCTGGCCGCCTTTGTCTCCCCAGGTGCTGATGTTCCAGACGCCTGGCCAGGCGCTCATTGAAGGCTGGAATTGACTTGCAGGAGGCCCGGGGATAAGTTGAGACGTCGCTCGTGACTAATATTGTCCGAGGGCGGGATTCGAACTCGGGCGTTCTGCTTTTTTTTCGCGCAGCGTGCCAAGCGCTGCACCACCAGGGCTTCAATTTAGGCGGAAAATATTTCCGCACCCGTCGCAACGACATCCAATATTCACCATCCCCCTGGCTGCTAGTCACGTGCCACTTACTCCAGCCAACGAGCTGCCCGGGTAACATTCGGTGAGAAATTATGCACTGGCTCCAAACACCACCACCATCACCACCTCTACCACCACACAGAAACCATCAGGCATACGGAGAGGCGGAGAGGGGAGAGAGGGGATGGAGAGAGGAATGGAGATACAAGGGGGAGACGTGGGAGGTGGGGAGGGGGGGAGGGAAATGGAGAGAGACAGGGGAAGATGAAGAGAGACAGGGCGAGATGGAGAGAGACAGGGGGAGATGGAGAGAGACAGGGGGAGATGAAGAGAGGCAGGGGGAGATGGGGGAGGGACCCAGGGGAAGGAGGTGGATGGGCTCAGGGCAAAATGTGAGTGGTGAAGTTTTGTGGGAAGACCCCGGAGTGGCCGAGCACGGTTCGATGCTGGGTCCAGGCCGCCTCCCGCATGCCCAGCAGCCAGCCATCGTCCTGCAGGGGTCACGGGGCATGCGAGGTCATGGTCATGAGAGGTCAGTGGTTACAATCGTTTTTTTATTTTTTACCAGGTAAGTTCCCGCTAAGCCACGTAGCTCTCTTTCAGAAGCGACCCCGGCCACCACAAATGATAGCTCAACGAAGTGGCTCATCACGCAGAGAACGTATAAGCAGCCAAATACCGTAAGCACGTCTTTCCAAACGCGTGTGTTCTCTGACCCAGCGATCCCAGGTGTGTACGTGCGCGCTCACACGCAAGCTCAGGTGTGTACACTCCGTCGCAGACGAGTTAACGACGTGGACCCAAAATGCGTCCCGGTGGGCACACGAGCCTTTTTCACGTCCGCGTTCGTAATTTTCCCAGCCGTACCGCCGCTTCAACAGCCGCGTCACCACAGCAATGCCCGGCTGGTGCGTTCCCCGCGTTATTATTGCTTTCGTTTAATTATAATTTAATACGACTTTTCTTTTTCCCAGGAAAGGCTCGTCGCGTCCCAGCGTTTTCTGTGCGCCGTTTGCCCCCCAATTGAGCGATCAGCGAGCAACTCGGAAGAGATGTGACGGGCGGCACACGAAGGCCCGCACTCTTCGCCGAATGACGTCATCGGGTGGCCCCGCAACGCTGCGCTCTGTAGGGGGACGGGAGCATGTTCGCACGGTTGGCGCCACCCAGCGGCTATTCACCAGGGCGACCTGCCGGATTCCAAACGCCGCCGCTCGGCCACGTCACGTGTTCCCTGGCGGTGCGTTACGAAGCGTGGGGGGCTGAAGGGGGGGGGGGGTGGTGCGGGAGGTGGGTAAAGCGCAGTCAGCGATACACCTGTGAAGGCCGGCACGGTACGCATTGGAGGTGGGGTGGCCAGCACCACGCCGCCTTTTGTCACCCAAGTCGTGATATTTTACGGCCGCTTCCCCCCCCCCCCCCTTGCTCACTCACACTCGGCAGAACATGGCGAGAACGCGCAAACTCCACACAGAAGAAGCAGAAGAAAAAAATTGCCGCAGTCGGGAATCGAAACCCCGGCGGCTGGGAGGCGCCAGTGCCTGCCTCTGCACCTCCACGTGGCTGTGCGCCCGTGTGGGACTCACCGCGTGTGTGATGGGGAGCGGCGGTGTAGCGGTTAGCGCACTGCGCTATGAACCACCCGAGTTCGATTTCCGCTCACGGCCAACACCAGTGATGATTATCTGAACCGGTCCTGGGCCTCCCCTAGGTCGACTCAGCCTCAAATGAGTACCTGGTGCGATGTGTAAACATCACCACTAGGGAGACAAAGGCGGTCAGGCGTGGTGCTGGCCACCCACCCCCTCGTGTACCGTTGCAGCCGCTAACAGCACTTGCCCCTACAGTCTGTTAAGGCTATATGGGGGGTCTTTAGCTTTGTGGGCCCCTCCACCACCCCCCCCCCCCCTCGTGTGTGAGCTGCCCACCTGCTCGTGGCCGTGCGTGTAGTCGAGCACCAGGAGGACGTCACCCTCCAGGAAGCTCAGCTCGTCCGTATCAGCGGCCTCGTAGTCGTGGCTGGCGCACACCTGGCGCAGGTGAGGGCAGCGGGCAGGACCAGGAGAGTATAAGGGGAGAGTGTTGTGTGAGAGTGTGTGAGAGTGTGCGAGTGTGTGAGAGTGTGTGTGAGTGTGTGTGAGTGTGTGTGAGTGTGTGAGAGTGTGAGAGAGTGTGTGAGAGTGTGAGAGAGTGTGTGAGAGTGTGTGAGAGTGTGTGAGAGTGAGAGTGTGTGAGAGTGTGTGAGTGTGTGTCAGGCGTGGTGCTGGCCACCCACCCCCTCGTGTGCCACCGTGCCGGCCTTCATAGGTGCTGCTACTCGTTAACAGCACTTGCCCCAACAGTCTGTTGAGGCTATACAGGGGATGTTTGGGGAGCGGTGGTGCAGTGGTTAGCATGCTGCGCTATGAACCCGGTGACCCGAGTTAATTTCCCACTCACTGCTCCCAACACTAGTGGCAAATGAATCCTTCCTGGGCCTCCCCAGGGTCGACTCATCCTCAAATTAGTACCTGGTGCGGTGTGGAAAACATCGCCGCTAGGGAGACAAAAGCGGCCGGGCGTAGTGTTACCCACCCACCCCCTCGTGTGCCGTGCCCGCCTTAATAGGTACTCGCTAACAGCACTTGCCCCAAAAGTCTGTTAAGGCTACACGGGGGATCTTTCTGTGCGTGGAGTGGTTGTTGAGGGCGCCCTGCGCTACCGTGTCCGGCGACCTCGGTTTGATTCTCAGTGCCACGGCGAACAGCAGCGGTGATATCTGAACCGGTGCCGGGCCTCCCCCTAGCTCGACTCAGCCTCAAATGAACACCTGGTGCGGTGTGTCAACATCGCCAAAGCATCCTGCTGTGATGTGTAAAACTGTGGCGGCCGGGCGTGATGCTCACCGCACGTCCAACCACGTGACCGCCCCCCCCCCTACCACCTTAATAGGCGCTCGCTAATCTCGCCAGGGCCCATACCACGTGGAGTGCGCGAGACCTCAGAAGCTGTCGCCAGGGGGTGGCCCAGCCTGGACATCGCTTGGGTGAGCAACCAGCAGGGGGCAGTGCAGAAAACAGAAATTGTTGCGGCGCTTTATTGTACTGCACTCCTATGCTCTCTGATCGGCGTGGTGAAGTATGGTCAAATAACCCTTGGGGGGGGTGGGGAATACCTTGAAAAGATATCCGGGTGGTAAGCTGAGATTCGCGGCATCTCCTTTGCTCTCGCTGGTGACATCGCCATCACCTCCACCCGTGTCTCTGTCGCTCCCTCCTCTGTGCTGCCCTTGATCGGGGTCCCGAGCGGCGTCATCTTGAACCCCGACCGTCGTCGCTTGGAAATCCGCGGAAGCCGCCTCGGCGACGGCCACGGAAGTGGGGGCCGCGGCGCTCGGCGCGCCCTCGGAAGCCGTGCCGGCCAACCTCGAGAAATCCCCAGAAGCTACTTGAGCCACAACGTCTTGCCCGAGGACATCCTCGGCAGCTGTTTTAGCCACGCTGCCTCGTCCCGGGATATCGTCGGAAGCCGCACTGGGGACACGGGGCTCTGAAGTTGCACCGGTCGCTTCGGAAGCATCCACGGAAGGCGGTTTAGGTTCTCCAGAGACATCCTGGGAAGCAGATTTATCTTGGATAGAGACATCCTCCGAAGCCGATTTAGTTTCTCCAGACAAATCCTCGGAATCCGCGGGGGTGACGACAGAGAAATCCGTGGAAGCAGGTCTAACTTCCCCAGAGACATCCGTGGAAGCAGGTATATCTTCCCCAGAGACATCCGTGGAAGCAGGTCTAACTTCCCCAGAGAAATCCGTGGAAGCAGGTCTAACTTCCCCAGAGAACTCCGTGGAAGCAGGTCTAACTTCCCCAGAGAGATCCGTGGAAGCAGATCCATCTTCCCCAGAGACATCCGCGGAAGCCAATTTCGGCCCTCTGCATTCATCCTCGGATGCTGCGTTTGCGTTCTCCGCTCCGTTGTGCGTGGCGTTGGGCGCGTTGGGTCTGGTCGCGTCTCCCTGCTAACCGCACGACAACAACAACAACAAACGCAAGATCAGGAGCTGATGCAGAACGATAGAACTGTTACCGTACTTACAGATCGTGTCGCCGCGTCAGTCAGGCTCACCCCCGAACCTGTGCCCGGCGTCAAGAGAGCGATGGCAAATATTGCCCCGCTCGAGTCTCAGGGCTCCTTATCAGGAGGATGTTGCCACATCGTTTGGCCAGGAATGCCATTAATGGGAGTTGGAGGAACCAGGCAGACAGCCCCAGCACGCATACGATGCGGGGTTGGGGGTAGCATGCAAAGCTCCGTACAGATGGATTCAGGAATTGCTGTACCGCCATTCACTGGCCACCTCGCAGGCCTGTGTTCAGGAGGAGGAGGGTGGTGGTGGTGGTGGTCGTGGTGGTGTCATCTCCGCCTCAACAAAAGGCGTGTGCACGTGCTTAAGAATGGCAGCAACATTTACAACAACGCAACAACCACTACAACACTTACAACAACCACAACATTTACAACCACAACAACAGACTGGTCAACGTGATTGCCATCATGTAATGTGGATTGTCATCATCATTACTATCACATTGGTTATCATAATAATTGTCTTCATCGCCATCAGACAATGACAATATTGTCATCATCACTATCATATTGTCATCACCGTTATCACTACAATTTCATTTTCACGTATGTACCGTATGTTGAACTTCTTTCGCACCGTACGTGGCCAACCGTGCTAATCGAAGGACATTTTTGTGTCATCATCGCCATCGCTATCGGAGCCGCATTCGCGCTCTTGACACCGCTTACCCAGAGTGACTTCACCGACGACCAAATCGGTGCGAGCTGCAGTTCACAGCCACAACGCAGCCCCCTCTCGTACCACCCAACACCACCCCCCAACACCCCCCCACCACCCCCAACCACCCCCCAACACCCCCCCCCCACCACCCCAGGTCACGACCGCCACGAACTATCGCCGATCCGGCCGCGTGGCGCTGCAGACGATTTTCCCTTTGCGGTTTCATTAGTCGGGTGAAGCGGCCTTCCGCTATCAACAATGCCCCCCCCCCCTCCGAGTCTTATCGCATCACCGCAGGCGCATCAGCGCGCACCCGCCGGGAGACACGGGGCTTGGGCCAAGACGGTTCAGTGGCTTCTGAGCAGACGCGCCGCGTACACTCCTAATACACAGGTGCAGACAAAGATCCCCCGCGCAGTCTCGGCAGACTGCTGCTGGGGAAAGTGTTGTCGGCGAGAAGCACCTACGACGGCCGGCACACGTGGGGGTGCTGGGTGGCCAGCGCCACGCCGGGGAGGCGATGTTTTACTCCACACCGCGCCGGGTACTCATTTGAGGCTGAGTCGACCTAGGGGAGGCCAGTACCGATTCAGATAATCGTCACCGGTGTTTGCCGCGAGCAGGTTTGTAGCGCCCTGGGCTAAACGCTACATTTCCGCTCCCTACCGCCAGACACACATACACGATATAGAGACAAAGATCCCCCGTATAGCCTCGACATACACTGGGGCAAGTGCTGTTCGCGAGTAGCACCTATTACAATGAACACGGTACACGAAGGGGGGCGGGGGGGCCAGCACCACGCCCGGCCGCCTTTGTCTCCCCAATACTGCTGCTTACGCCCAGCACCAGCTACTAATTTGAGGCTGAGTCGACCTAGGGGGAGGCCCGAGACCGGTTCAGATAATCGTCACTGGTGTTGGCCATGAATCGGGCTCGTAGCACAGCGCGCTAACCGCTGCACTACCGCTCCCCCGCAGATGGAGAAACGCACACAAACACTGAATCGTGTGAAGAGACGCACAGATATCCACAGAGACCCATCAACAAAAAACGAGCACACACGCGGACCCCGTCGCGGACACACACCCGCACTTACAGAAGCACAATGAGTTACACACACAGTCACACACACAATAGAGTACAATAGAGTTATACACACAATAGAGACACAATAGAGGCACACACACAATAGAGTACAATAGAGTCACACACACGATAGAGTACAATAGAGTCATACACACACAATAGAGATACACACACACAAGAGTCACACACAATAGAGTTACACAATAGTCACACACACAATAGAGTTACACACACAATAGAGTACAATAGAGTCATACACACACAATAGAGATACACACAATAGAGTCACACACAATAGAGTAATACACACACAATAGAGTTACACAATAGTTGCACAATAGTCACACACACAATCGAGTTACACACAGCGCCGGATTAAGGCGCGGGGGGCTTTAGGGGCCGAAGCCCAGGGGCCCCCCGCCAGCTGAAGGGGCCTCCAGAGATTCAGTGAAAAGTTATTTCATCTGTGAATGCTGAATTTTATTTGTTGTTAGCCTTGTAAAAATAAATTTTACTTTTCTTTTGAAAATATTACTGGGGGGCCCTCACAGTGCCTGTAACCCAGGGGCCTACACAATCTTAATCCGGCCCTGACTACACACACAGAGTAGAGTTACACACAATAGTGTCACACACACAACAGAGTTACACACGCAGACGGAAACAAAGATGCCCCGTATAGCCTTTAACAGACTGTTGGGTCAAGTGCTGTTAAGCGAGTGGCACCCTACGAAAACTACCGGCACGGACACACCAGCCCTTGCAGGCCAGCACCACGGCCGATGTTTACCACACACCACACCAGGTACAGGTACTGATTTGAGGCAGAGTCAACCTAGGGGAGGGCCAGGTACCCGTTCTTACGACGACGACGATGATGACCGATGAGGCTTTTCCCGTCACCCGCAGGGATTTGAGCAAAAGCATCGAACGTGAAAATGTTGCGGGCGGAACGAAACGTGAAAGGGTGACACCACCGGCCTATATAACACGATCCGCTTTCCTGTGATGATTATATTCTTATTGCAACCGCGGCGCAAGAGTCAAATTGCCGGCGCCTCGCTCTGCCGCTCGAGCAAGCTAATGAGAGTAGCAAAAAAAATATGTAAGTCACCGTTCATCGACACGTTCTTTAAATAACCACGGTCACAACAGCAACACTAATAGCAATCTCGGCAACTGTGGACTCACAATGACAACCACACGCATCATCCTTCATTATCCAGCAGTGGATTGACATCACGCGTTTTACATTTAAATAAGTAATCGTGTCCGGGGGTGTTTGTAGTAATTGAGGATTTGGCAGAGCAATGGACAAACCCTGCTGGCAGATTAACCCGGAGTTTCTTATCGGACTCGCTCAGCCGAACGTGGGCCCCGGCTGCGCTTTTCTTTTTTCTCTCTTGGACACGGGGAGCGGTGGCGCAACGGTTGGGCGCACCGCACCACTAATCCCAGCCACCGCCACCAGAGTTCACGTTCCCTGCGGCTGCAGCGGACGGGAGCAATCGGCTCCATCGGAGACATCACAGTCGTTCCCACACCTCCACAAGGGTGGAGTTGGTGTGTGTCTGCGTGTGTGTGGGCAGCGCTAGTCTCGTGTGCCACACCGGCCTTCATAGGTGCTGGCTAACAGCACTTGCCCTAACAGTCTGTAAAGGCTTCACTGGGGATCTTTGTCTTGTGTTTGTGTGGGGAGCGGTGGTGTAGCGGTTAACGCGCTGGCAATACGAACCCGGCGACCCGGGTTCGATTCCCGCTCACGGCCAACACCGGTGACGATTATTTGAACCGGTCCTGGGCCTCCCCTAGGTCGACTCAGCCTCAAATGAATACCCGGTGCGGCGTGTAAACATCGCCACTGGGGAGACAAAGGCGGCCGGGCGTGGTGCTGGCCACCCACCCCCTCGTGTGCCATGCCGGCCTTCATAGGTGCTGGCTAACAGCACTTGCCCTAACAGTCTGTAAAGGCTACACGGGGGATCTTTGTCTGTGTCTTGTGTGTGTGCACGTCGCGACCGAAACCGCAGTCCCTGGAGGCGAGAGGCGTTTCCTGTTTTGTTGGCTCCAACTTTCTTGTTCAAAATACTGTAGCGCTTGCAACAGCAAGAGTAATAATATTAATAATCATAATACATTAACACAACAAACGAACACACAACATTCAAGAGAAGTGCCTGTTGGCACTCGCTCCGTGGTTTGCAATTTGCATCTTCGGGGACAAATCACGATCAATGTGTCACCGTGGTCCTCGCTGTCGATGTTACCGCTTGACTATTGTTTTATTTTACCAGTGAAGGCGCCGCTGAGATCTACACAGCCACATGTGATAGCTCAACGAGGAGGCTTATCGCGTGGAAATTGACAGCAGCCAAATAATGCAAAGGCACGTTTCTGAATGTGGAGGGGGGAAAAACCGGAGAACCCGGAGAAAAACAAGCCACACGCGACCACGGGGAGAATATGCAAACTCCAAATATACAGGTGTCAGGATCGGGATCTAACCCACGGCCTCCTGTGTTCATAATCAAGGTTTTTGGGTTAGATCGAGTAAGTATAAATGTGTCGTAACGACGTTTCGCTGGTAATTACATCGAGTGATTGCATCCAGCATCATCAGGCGAATCTGGAAAATCGCCCGATGATGCTGGATGTCATTATCAGCGAAACGTCGTACTCCTCAAATTGTAAATGTTGTGGATTTATTCTCCAACACACCGGTGGGCTGTAGCAGTAACTAATTGGTGCGTTGTTTACGTGACAAACCTTACTAGCAATGTCGGGTGGTGGAGGGTTACGACACATTTATACTTACGCGATCTACCCCAAAAACCTTTATTAAGAATAACATTAGTCGCAAAAGCCTACCACGTGCTAAACCGACCTCCCTCCTGCACACCAGGCGAGGTAGTTAACATCTCGCCACCGCGAGACTGCTCCGGCCGCTTTGCCCCAATCGCACCTCCCAACGCACCGCGGCCGTGCGCTCACCGCTGACAAAGTCCGCGGTGTGTGGCGAGGGCGAGCACTCACCGGGTGAGCGGCGGCGGCGGCGGCGGCGGCGGCGGCGGCTGCGGCCTCCCCGTTGGCCGCCCCCCCCCAGGCAGCGTCGCCCGCGCCGTGCACCACCAGGGACCTCCTGGGCGGGGGTCGTGCTGGAGGGGTCTTCTTATCCCCCTGCCACGCGCGCGCGGTGTGGAGGGCGCAGCGTCGCAAAGCTGAACGTCGCAATATCCGCCCCCCCGGCAGTTAACCGCCGTGTGACTCTCATCCCGACGGCGTTACGTTTCCGCTCGCTAAAATATTGAGCCGACTTGCACCTGCGCCTCACTTTTTCCGCCACCGCTCGCTCTCACGTGACATCCGCGCCGTTTCATTTTAATTTGACGACCGTTAAATACTTGAGCGTTGTGCGAATATTCCTTAAGGACTCTGCGACTCATTCTCCGCAAAATATCGATGTTGTTGCTGCTGCTGCTGCTGAGCTCACGCACCACGGATCTCCCGGATAAAAATACCCCAGGCAACTGGCTCAATGGGACCATTATTCGTGTAACAAATCAAAATAAACTTAATTCTCACACACACACACGTAGGAAGGTGTTCCTCATCTCGCGAATATATCAGAACCGCTCCTGGGCCTCCCCTAGGTCGACTCAGCCTCAAATGAGTACCTGGTGCGGTGTGTAAACATCGCAACTGGAGAGTCAAAGAAGGCCGTGGGGGCTGTCACAGCACTTGCCCCAACAGACCGTTGGGGCTATATGGGGGATCTTTGTCTTTGTTTATTTTACCTGGATGACTGTCGATGATGTGGACCACCTTGGACGAGGAACGGGAATGGCTGTGGGGGGCTCCGTCGTGGGGGGCTCCGTCGGGGTCTCTGTGGGGGTCTCTGTAGGGGGCACGATGGGGGTCCCTGTGGGGGTCTCTGCGGGGGGCATTGTGTGGGGCCGTGTGGGGGGCCGTGTGGGAGTCCCTGTGGGGGTCCCTGTGGGGGTCTCTGTGGGGGTCTCTGTAGGGGGCACGATGGGGGTCCCTGTGGGTGTCTCTGCAGGGGGCATCGTGTGGGGCCGTGTGGGGGGCCGTGTGGGGGTCCCTGCGGGGGTCCCTGTGGGGGTCCCTGTGGAAGTCTCTGCAGGGGGCATTGTGTGGGGCCGTGTGGGGGTCTCTGTGGGGGTCCCTGTGGGGGTCCCTGTGGGGGTCCCCATGGGGGGTGCTGTAGACGCGTCTCCGTGAGAGGGGTTCCGCTGGGGACGCAGCGGGGGGGTCTGCCCCCCAGGACTCGGAGCTTCCTTCAGGGATCCCTGAGACCTCCTGTTGGATTCCCTGTGCACAACAACAACAACATCAACAGCATCAACAACATCATCAGCATCACGCCACCGCCTATATAACAGCAGCAGCACCTCGGTTTTTATTTTGGCTAACCATCAAACAAAGACGGTGGTCACCGCATCGCGCAGTGCTTTCAGATGCACTTCCGCGGCCGTCTGGAACGCGCTTCCTTCCGATATTAGGAAGCCACTTGGGCTTTGCACTTTTAAATAATCTAGACCGAAAATTAATTTCTTCAGAACTGCATTAAGTGTTAAGTTTGTTGGCCTTCCCCCGCACCTCCGATTAGCACGGTTGACTACGTCCGACGCGGTATAAGTCCAACACACAGTACACGCACCCTCATTACGATTCCATTGTAGGAGTATCATCGTCATTATTGGATTCCCGAACCATCATACCCCATCATCATCCACCGCTGTGGACTCCGCTCCATTGCATCATCATCACTCAATTGTAATCATAACCAAAATCTCAATACATTTGTAGATAACACTGTGGGGGCCTTAAAAGGAATATATCTGTGCGTTCTGTATACACGAAGGCAGTGTTTTTTGACAAATGTGTTGCGTTGCTGTTGTTAACTGTGCTCGTGTACCACCACCGACGTAGCAGCAGCAATCACGAAATACGTTATCATCGTCGTTATCAGCAGTCATCATCGTCTGTGACAAACCGCCATCGTCCATCACTCAATATCCTAATCATCCACAACATCAACAATGTCAATAGCAGCAGCAGCACACATATCAGCGTCGTCAACCACCGGATCAATATCTGTCTGTGAGGGCACGGGGGGGGGGGGTCTATCAGTGAGTCACTGTGCTCCTGTGTGTATGTGTTGGTGTGTGTGTGTTGGTGTGTGTGTGTTGGTGTGTGTGTGTTGGTGTGTGTGTTGGTGTGTGTGTTGGTGTGTGTGTGTGTTGGTGTGTGTTGGTGTGTGTGTGTTGGTGTGTGTGTGTTGGTATGTGGGTGTGCTCGTGTGTGTATGTGTTGGTGTGTGTGTGTGTTAGTGTGTGTGTTGGTGTGTGTGTGTGTGTTGGTGTGTGTGTTGGTGTGTGTTGGTGTGTGTGTTGGTGTGTGTGTTGGTGTGTGTGTTGGTGTGTGTGTGTTGGTGTGTGTGTGTTGATGTGCGTGTGTTGGTGTGCGTGTGTTGGTGTGTGTTGGTGTGTGTGTGTTGGTGTGTGTGTTGGTGTGTGTGTTGGTGTGTGTGTGTGTGGTGTGTGTGTTGGTGTGTGTGTTGGTGTGTGTGTTGGTGTGTGTGTGTGTTGGTGTGTGTGTTGGTGTGTGTGTTGTGTGTGTGTGTTGGTGTGTGTGTTGGTGTGTGTGTTGGTGTGTGTGTGTTGGTGTGTGTGTTGGTGTGTGTGTGTGTGTGTTGGGGTGTGTGTGTTGGTGTGTGTTGGTGTGTGTGTGTGGTGTGTGTGTTGGTGTGTGTGTGTGTTGGTGTGTGTGTGTGTTGCTGTGTGTGTTGGTGTGTGTGTTGCTGTGTGTGTTGGTGTGTGTGTTGGTGTGTGTGTTGGTGTGTGTGTTGGTGTGTGTGTTGGTGTGTGTGTGTGTTGGTGTGTGTGTGTTGGTGTGTGTGTGTTGCTGTGTGTGTGTTGCTGTGTGTGTTGGTGTGTGTGTTGGTGTGTGTGTTTGTGTGTGTGTGTTGGTGTGTGTGTTGGTGTGTGTGTTGGTGTGTGTGTTGGTGTGTGTGTGTGTTGGTGTGTGTGCGTTACCCTGAGGGTGCAGGGCGAGGCGGGCGCGTGTTGACTTGGGACACGTGGTGCTGACGACACGCCTTGTGCATCACCTCGTACAGCTGCTTACTCAGCTACAAAGACACAAACAAAGATCCCCCTGTAGCCTTTTAACAGACTGTTGGGGCAAGAGCAACTATGAAGGCCGGCACGGCAAACTGAGCTAAAACACACACGAATGGACACACACACACATGGACACAACCACGGACACACACACGGAAATATACAAAGAAATGCATGCACAGACGCACAGATACAGACAGCGATGACACACAATCATACTCAGAGTGCAGGGATGATGAAGATGATGCAATGGAGTGACAGGTGATGATTATTTATCTACTATGATGATGACTATGAAATGGTATTAATATTAAGCAATGGAGTGATGACGATGGTGATTAGTGATGACAATGATGATAATGATGACGATGATGCGGATGATTGCCTCCTACCTTGCTCAGCTCTGTATACACATTCTCTTCCACACCAGCCATGCTTTGCAGAGTGTTCACGTACACACTGACACGACTGCAAAGACAAAGGCAAACACCCCCCCGTGTAGCCTTAACAGACTGTTGGGGCAAGTGCTGTTAGCGTGCCGACATGGCACGCGAGGAGGTGGGTGGCCAGCACCACCCCAGCCGCCTTTGTCTCCTTAGTGGCATACAACAACAACAACCGCCATTCGCCACTAAGTGTTGGTGATGTCACCACGGTGCTTGTGCCAGGCTATGTGCACGTTAAGACCACGTGAAGTGTCAAACGCCCGCTGGCAGGAGGTCACACGGACAGACCCAGATGCCATGGGTCGACTGACTGAGATGATTGATATGACTGGCTGATGCACCACCTGTACCCCCTACTGTGCCAACTTGCTGTGCTTTAGCCACCCGGCGCTCCGCTCGTTGTGAGCGTCGCTCCTCCGCCCTCCGTTGTTGCTGGAAGGCGACTGCCTCCAACTGCCCAGTAGCAGCGTCCTTCACGAGCCTCTTCCACAGAGGCCGATCTTGACAATCGCTGGTACCAGTCATCGGCAAGTTAGTGGCACACGCACACACGCGATTGCGCCTTTGCGGGCGGGGGCGGGAACGGGAAAAGGGTCGTAGGGTCACAGCGCGTCAGGGAGAGGATGATCGTAGCGGTTGTGTCCACCTGGTAAACAACGCCGGCAGCTCGTCCTGGAGCTCCGAGTTGATCTCCTCGAAGACTCGCTGGGCCTTCTGCAAGTCCTCCTCAGCCTGGAACGAGCAACAGCAGTGCAACCTCGTCACGAGGGTCAAGGCAAAGGGCGCAGCCCTGCAACTGCTCGCTTGAGCAGCAGCTGGTGGAAGAGCATCCTGCTCGGAGGCAGCTCTGGAGATCCTCCTCCAGACGGCACTTTGGCCTGCTCCCCCACGCTGGCCAGACTTTTTGGAACAGATGGGGGGTATTTAATCAACTTGCACCATCGTGCGCACGAGGGCGTGAGTGGCCAGCACCATGCCCAGCCGCTTTTGTCCCGCAATCCTGATGTTCACTCATTTAAGGCTGAATCGAGCTAGGGGAGGCGCAGGACCAGTTCAGATAATCGTCACTGGTGTTGGTGGCCGTGAGCGGGAATCGAACCCGGGTCACGGGATATGTAGCGCGGCGCTGCATCGCTGCACTACCGCTTCCCCTGCGTCATACACGGACAGACGCGCAGAAAACCAGGAACTTGTGAATGTCGTGGCATGCCGTGGTCTATCTCGTGTCTATCTCGTGTCTACCCCCTGTGAATGCGACACATGGCACCAGATGCAGTTCTTGGCAAAGCTGCCAACGATTAGCACGGTTGGCTACGTACAGTGTGAAAGAAGTTAAACATACATACAAAGTCCATCTCCTTGGCATTTGAGACAACCTACTTCTGTTTAATGTTGCTGTACCTGGATTTTTAATTGTGCTATTATCGGCCTGAAAATAATTCGCCGCGGGCCAACTTACACTTACAGGAACTATTAGTATTTAACACCGATTTATATTTTAGCGCAAGGTGTTTAATTTCTCACGCGAAGCGGTTGACTTTGTTGTGTTTCACTATTCACTTAATTGCTGCAACTTTAAATCGCTCTCCTTCTTGTCACTTCTTTGACCCAGGGTCGCTTCACTCGAACGCGACCCCTCCCGGCTGTGCGTCCTTACCTGACGACACGAATAAAACGCAAAACCTAAAACTGACCTCGCTCGCTCGCTCGTTCACTCGCTCTCTCGCCGTCTAGACCGTTTACCCACTCACCCACCAACGGCGATGTCATCGTCGGCGCCGGTGGCGGTTAGAGTCGCGCCGGCAAGCTTTGCGAATGCCTTTATTTGTTCATAATGAAGGTTTCTTGGGTTGGATCGCGTAAATTTAAACGTGCCGTTAACCCCGCCACCACGCGACACGACACAATTGGTAAGGGTTGTCACGTGTAAAATAAAAAGTGCGAGGTAGTTACTACTTCAGCACACCGGTGTGTTGGAGAGTAAACCCACGAGATTTACAATTTTACTCACCAACACATCGGTGTGCTGAACTAGTAAGTAATTGGCACGTTTTGTTTACGTGACAAAGCTTACTAATTGGCCGTACCGGTTGGTGGTGGGTTAACGACATATATTTATATTTACCTGACCTAACCCCAAAAAAAAAAAACCTTTATCACAAATAATATTGGTTCGCGAAAGCCTACTGCGTGTTAAACCGTTTTGTTTGTTCGTAAATGTTTCACCGAGGCGCCCCCCCACCCCCACCTTGGATATCTTGGCCTCGTCGCGCTTCTTGCCGGCCTGCAGGGCCTGCAGGTGATGCCGGGCCCCGTCGACATCCACCAGCTTGCGCGCCCGTTTCGACATCCTGGCCTAAGCCGCACGCAAACACCGAGGGAGACGCCCGTGCCAAGCCCGGTAAGCCAGCCCCTCTAACCGGCCAAACGGAAGCTGCTTCGAGCGTGCGGTGGCTGGGCACGCGCGACACGTGACCCAGCCAACGTAGCCTCGCCCGCCGGAGGAGCTCGCCGATGGGACGGTGTCCAGATCGTTGGAGAATCTGCGAGCTCCTCGTGCGGTAATCCAGTCTGGTTAAACCGAGGATGTCTCCAGCCGCCACACGGCTTCCTCAAAAAGGGGGTCGCGCATTTCGCAAGCGCAGATAAGAGAGGGCATAATTGTTGCCGAATAATTTCGGAGCTTCGCCACACAGCTTCCTCACCGGCGTTGCAGTGTCGCCGGCGAGACGGTGCCGCCCCGCCGATTGAGAACAAGACAAACCCGGCGCTGGGTGATGGGCTCACTGCCCATGTATGGGGAAACTCCACCACCCCCCTCTCTACAAGCACACTCCGTTACTCATGGAGAGCCGAGGGGTCAGAATGTCGAATGCCACAAAGTGTCCAGCCTGGTGATTTGTCTTGGTGGGGCTTGTGGTAAGGGTCCATCCCTTAGCGGTGCACTCCAGGTTCGGAAAACAAAGTCTGCAACGGCTTTTCAGAGCGAGCAGTAATTTACCGGCTCATCAGCACACATAAGACGGTTCATCAGTAAGGGAGCCATCCTGCGACCGCACCCGGGCATCGATCAGCCTCCCACTGTACCCGTGCCAGATGGAAATTCCATTGGCAGAGCCATGGAAAGCTTCTTTAACTGTGGTTGAAAAAAAACAAGTTAAATAGTCCAGGGGCCAGAGGACATCCTTGTCGCACCCCAAGGCAAACAGAGAATGGCTCCGACTCCCAGAATAAAATCAATGATCACGCGCAGCACTCACTCACGCACACATTCTCACACATACAGCCATACACACGTGCTGCCTCTCTCTCGCTCTCACACATACACACACAAAGACAAAGATCCCATGTATAGCCTTAGCAGACTGTTGGAGCAAGTGCTGTTCGCGAGTATCTATGGAAACCAGCACGGCACACGAGGGGGTGGGTGGCCAACACCATGGCCGGCCGCCTTTGTCTCCCTAGCGGCGATGTTTACGCACCGCACCAGGTACTCATTTGAGGCTGAGTCGACCTAGGGGGAGGCCCATGACCGGTTGAGATAATCATCACCGACGTTGGTCGTGGCGTGGTGGTGGTGCGCTAACCGCTGCGCCACCGCTCCCAGAGCGCCGCCTGATGTGGAGGGACAGATACTGTAAAAAAAAAAAATTTACCGGGTAAAGGCCCACCGAGCTATATAGATTTTTTTTTCAGAAGCGACCAGTAGCCAAACACTCTTAAACAAGCACTCTCTAGATGAGTGAGGACGGCATAGCGTGTATCCGCTCATAGTCATCATTACGCAACTAGAGTTCATGCATTGCTCGATACGACGCGAGGGAGAAGCGGTGGGAAGGCCACGGGTGCACACGGACAAGGCTTGGCACCTTGACGTCGCCGAAGGGAGCCTGGTGGGTCTCCAGAGCGGGCAGGGTCTGGTCCCAGAGCTTCTGGTGGTAGTCCTCCCATAGCAGCTCCGTGGTCTGCGCGCAGAGACGAGATCATCGTCATGATCATCGTCATCGTCACCATCGCTGATGGATTTTTTTGTTTGGTCAATACAGACGGGATTCCTTGCAAAAGGTCGAACATCTTAACACAGCCGTTTTACTGGTAGGAACCCACTGGTTCCACCAGCCCACAGGGGATTAATGTGTTCGTCCGTCCGTCGTGCAGGGAGGGGCTGGGTGGGGAGGGAGGGGCTGGGTGGGGAGGGGAGGGTGGGGAGGGGCTGGCTGGCTGGGGAGGGTGGGGCTGGGTGGAGAGGGGAGGGGAGGGTGGGGAGGGGCTAGGTGGGGAGGGTGGAGAGGGGCTAGGTGGGGAGGGTGGGGAGGGGCTGGGTGGGGAGGGTGGGGCTAGGTGGGGGGTGGGAGGGCTGGGGCTGGGTGGGGAGGGGCTGGTCACCCCGTGGTGCCCTTATAAAACTCAACGTTTAACCTACTCACGCCGGCTTGTGCCCGCCCTCACAGTCGGGCATATTTGCGGAATACACCACGCCACCATTGACCCTGGCCATTGACCGAGCAACCCAACGTTCCTACCAGCTCCCTCCGCAGGAATGTGTTATTGCCAGAAAGGATAAAACCTATTCCTATATCGTCAATCTTGATTTGTTCAAGACTAGCCTATCGCTAATCTTAGAGAGGCTAAGACTGCTCCATTTTGAACTTGATCATTTAGCGGGTTCAGCAGTTACACTGCTGGATTATTTTTTCCACCTGAGGACGACCCGCTTGTGTTGCGATCAAAACATCGTGATATTTTGCTGCCTACGTGACTTTACCGAAAGAACCAAAGAGGATGTTCTTATATCGTCGTCAGTCATCATCCTTATCGTCGCCATGCCCTGGCTATCACCGCGGGGTGTATTCAACGTACGAACACGACACGCCGTCCGCTTAATAACCAGGCTACAGTCTACATTAGTGTTTTTTATTTATTTTTATTTACTGTATTTCTTTTTTATTATCTATGTGACTTTACCGAAAGAACCAAAAAACATGAATTCCTGCAGTCACGAAAGTTTTAAGTCAAAAGACAGAAATGTAACCCAGGTTACCGGATTCATAGCGCAATGCGCCAGCTACCACACTGGCACCGTTTAAAAAATAAACAGCATTTGAGGTATGTGCAATGTCAAAGGAATGGACTTCACAAGATAAACTTCTGCTCTTCGAAACACAAATTCTGGGAACCTCATGGCAGGGCACGTAAACAACTTGGACATTTGTAACAGGAAAGTGCTGTTGATATAATCAGGAGGAGGAGGAGGTTGTGATGGGCGGGACACGTGGCGTGCTGGGTAGGGGAGGAAGGTTGGCGACTGAGGAGAAGATTGAGAGTGGTGGTACTGTAAGACCGGTCCTTGAGGCATGTGTCATCTGTAACAAGGCGAAGTAGACCTTAATCCAGATGAGAGTGGTGGCTGAAAGAGTGCAAGATCGGACCTTGAAAGGTCAAGCGTCAACGTAACAACAAGCACGGCATCCGGCCGAAGGAAGCAAGCAACTGCGGGGCGCGGTGACATCATCATTGGAATGGCCGCGATGACCTTTTGACCTTGACCTGATGAATTTGCTCAAGTGGCGGTGCGCTCCGCATACCTCAGCGATCCTGCTGAGTGTTTCCCTCTCGGGCCAATCCTCCTCGCTCAGCAGCAGCAACGACTCCCAGAGACGGCCGCTCGATTCGTGCAGAGCTGCGCGCACATCGCACACACGCACGCGGACCGTCGGCTTGCACGGAGACTCATCGAATTGCATAAAGACCCATCGACTCGCATAAAGACTCATCGACTTTCACAGAGACCCATCGACTTGCACAGAGACCCATCGATTTGCACAGAGACTCACAGACTAATATAGAAACCCAAATACCCCTCTTCCACTGGCACATCCGAACCGAGCCAGTGCAGCATCCTCGCGGTACGGGTTTTGCCGTGCTGAGCCTGAGCCAAAACAGTGTGATGCTGACCTCACAAAGAAATCGGATTCTGGATCGGGGGGGGGGGGGGGGCCAAGCAGGGCCAGGGTGCGGTGCTGATGTCGCGTTCGTTTAGCGTGCCGCCAGTCGGTAAAACTCGAACGCTTTGATGGAAAGGCGTCGATTGCATCAACAGTGAACCCTAAGAATCCCAGATGTTTCCGCCTGGCTCGTTGCGAGCTCCTTGTAAAAGTGAAACAGCGATTTCCTCTGTTGGCTGTGACTGTTGCAGACCTGCGATGACTGCCTGGCTGCGTAAGAACCCCACTCACAGAGGCGTTGGTGTGCGTGTGTTTGTGTGTTGCCACGGTGGGGGGCACAGGTGGTGCATCTGCCAGTCATCTCGGTCAGTCAACCCATGGCACCTGGGTCTGTCCCATGACGTCCTGCCAACGGGCGTTCGACACTTCACGTGGCCTCAAAGTGCACCTAGCCTGGCACAGGCGCCGTGGTGACGTCACCGCCATTTAGTGGTGAGTGGCGTTTGTTGTTGTGTTATGGGGAACACCTGGTGCGGTGTGTAAACATCGCCACTAGGGAGACAAAGGCGGCCTTCACAGGTACTCGCTAACAGCACTTGCCCCAAAAGTCTGCATGAGCTCAACGGCCACTCCCGGTGACGATTATCTGAACCGGTCCTCGACTCAGCCTCAAATGAGTGCCGAGTGTAGTGTTTAATCATCAACACTGGAGAGACAAAGGAGGCCGGGCGTGGTGCTGGCCACCAACAACCTCGTGTGCCCATGTACCAGGCCTTCATAGGTCCCTGTTGAAGGCTACATGAGGGGGGTGGGGAATCTGTGCATTTGTTCGTGAATGCGCGCTGCCCCGAATGCGCCGTGATCGCAGCGAGTCGTGGAGGCGAAGCAGGCTTGAGCCGCATGGGGGCGAGTGCTCGGGGCATGATGTGGCATCCCGAAGGTGGCAGCACCAGCGATTGATTCCCGAATCCGTCGCCGGGGCTGCCGTCAGCAAACGGATTCCATTGCCGTGCAGAGTTTTGCGCGCAGTTTTTTTTTCTTTCGCTTACTTATCCGGGCACTCCGGTTTCTTCCCATATGAGGCCACACAATTGATAACGGAATTGAGCAAACAAGGGGAATGCAGGACCCTCGCGAGAGAGAGTCTTCAGACTCAGTAGATACATTGAGGGCATTATGATTATTATTATGATGCCGGTCATGTGTTTCATCATCTCACCTTTGATAGAGGCCAGGTAAGCCCGGAGATCCCTGGTCAGTCTGCTGCTCTCTGTCTGCAATGGACCACAGCATCAGGATGTGCTCATAAAATGCCCTCTTGCCTGGAAACTCGGAGAAATTGCTTGTGTACATATTCACGTGTGTGTACGTTTGTGTGTCTTTGTGGGGGGTGAGGGAGGGGGTGGTACAGCAGTTAGCACCCTGCGCTACGAACCTGGCGTCCTGAGTTTGATTCCCGCTCACGGCCAACACCCAGTGACGATTATCTGAACCGGTCCTGGGCCTCCTCTAGGTCGACTCAGCCTCAAATGAGTACCTGGTGCGGTGTGTAAACATCGCCACTAGAGAGACTAAGGCGGCCGGGCGTAGTGCTGGCCACACACCCCCTCGTGTGCCATGCCGGCCTTCATAAGTGCCCGCTAGAAGCACTTGCCATAACAGTCTGTTCTAGGTTATTCTAGGGATCTTCTGTTTTTGTGTGTGTGTGTGCATGCGAGCGGTTAGGGCGCTGTGCTACGTACAAACCCACAGACCCACATTTGTTTCAAGGCCATGTGGCCATGGCTAACATCGGTAGCCCTCAACCAGCAGTGGATCACCAAATGGTTGGTATGGCACTTGTCCATGTGCAGTGACATAGAATCGGTCACGTAGCAGCATAGCGCTGGCTGCTGGCGGGGAAGGGCATCTGCAGCTTGCAGCAGCCCTGGCTGACAGCAGGTCACGTGATAGACCAGAGAGGGCTCTAGGGGAAGGGTCACGGAAGTGGCACACCGAGAACCCGCTGGTAGGTTCCAGAAGGGGGCGTGACCGGGGGCGGAGCCAGTAGGCCACGCTGGCGGTATAAGAGGGGCCCCGGGAGGGGAGCTCGGGGCTGTCGTGTGGAGTGGGGTGGGTCCCCGTCGTGCTGCTGCTGCAGCCTTCACCGTCTCGGCGTCGTCAGTCAGGCAGTCTACCAGCCGTCCTGACTGGGAGCCGTAGTTACTAAGTGTTACTGTCAGGCCATGCTAATAAACAGAGTGCCTCCTACTCTTAGTGTCTCCGAGTCAGTCACTACCCATGCGACCAGCTCAACGTCTCCGCCCATTCGATGCCACCATTGCGGACGTTCACAAAACGCTCAAGGTAGTCTTTTGAGGCTGAACTTAATCTAGGCGAGCCTCAGACACGTTGACAACAGTCGCCGTTGACCACGAACTCACGGAGATTTGACGACGGCGTTGTGCCAGGCTAGGTACACTTCGAAGCCATCGTGTGAATTATCAAAGGCTCGCTGGCAGGAGGTCATGGGACAGACCCAGGTGCCATGGGTTAACTGACTGGGATGACTGCCAAATGCACCGCCTGGGCTCCGCACTGTGCCAACTTGCCGCCTTTTAGCCGCCCGGCGCTCCGCTCGTTGTTGTGAGCGCCGCTTCTCTGCCCTCCGTTGTTGCCGGAGGGCGGCTGCCTCCGACTGCTCGGCAGCAGCGTCTTTCACGAGCCTCCGCCTCCTCCACAGAGGCCGATGTTGTCTGACACCGCCGGTGCCAGCCATCGGCGAGTCCCGATCACGCGCTCACACACACACGGTTACCTGTTGTTGTGCAAAGTTCTGTGCCAGCTGCTCAAACTGCTCGTCCCTCGTCTCGTCGGCCTTGCCAAGTCTTTGCAAAACCTTCCACGGGGGGGGGGGGGGGGGGCGGGTGAAACATGATAGGCTATTAGGAGAGTGGCGACTGAGAGCGACGATTGAGAGTCAGCGATCGAGGGGGATTTATGCTCGAAAGGCATGCACCAGGGGTGGTTGAGTGGTGGTGAGATGTGGAGTGGTGGTGGCACGCTGAGTGGTGGTGCATGGAGTGATGTGGTACAGGAGGACGTCGAGCTGAGTGGACTTGCCGGTGACTGGTACCAGCGGTGTCAAGATCGGCCTCTGTGGAGGAAGCTCGTAAAGGACACTACTGGGCAGTTGGAGGCAGTCGCCCTCCAGCAACAATGGAGGGCGAAGGAGCGACGCTCACAACAACGAGCGGAGCGCCGGGTGGCTAAAGCACAGCAAGTTGGCACAGTAGGGGGCACAGGTGGTCCATCAGCCAGTCATCTCGGTCAGTCAACCCGTGGCACCTGGGTCTGCCCCTTGACATCCTGCCAGCGGGCGTTCGACACTACACTTCCCGTGGCCTCAAGGTGCACATAGCCTGGCACAAGCGTCGTGGTGACGTCACCGCCACTTAGTGGCGAATGGCGGTTGGTGTTGTTGGTGGTGGTGGATGTGGTGGTGGTAGTAGTTAATAGTGGGTAATGGTGGTATAGTGTGCAGCGGTGGCGAGTGGCGTGGTTGGTAAGTGGTGAATGATGCGAACTGGGTGGCGAGTGGCGAATGGTGGTGAGTGATGTCAGACAGTTGGTGACATCGGCTGTGGATTGTGAGCGGTGCTGTTCGTGGTTAGCACAATCCACGGGTGGCAAATATATAACCCGAGTTGTGAGTGATAAGCGTCAGACGCTGGCGAACATCGGTTGTGGCTGGTGTGGGCAGTGAGCGGTGAGCAGTGGCCCTGGCGTCCAGTGCTGTTTGCTGTGGTCACTACAGGTGGTGGTACGATAACCACTGCGGCTTGCAACACAGTCTACAATTGTGGCGCCACGGTGGCTAGGAGATGTTAACTACCTCGCCTGGTATACAGGAGGTCGTGGGTTCGATCCAGACCCTGACGCCTGCTGTATATTTGGTGTTTGCGTGTCTCTCTCCCCGTGGTCACGTGGATATTTATCCGGGTCCTCTGGTTATTCTCTCAACATTTTGAAACGCGTTTAGAGTATTTGGCTGCTATAAATTTTCACGTGACAAGTCACTTCGTTGAGCCATCACTTGTGGTGGCCAGGTCGCTTCTGAAAAAGAGCTACATAGCTCAGTGGGCCTTACCTGATAAAATAAAAACATTAAAAGTTGAGTTTAGTGCTGTGCCCAGGCCCTTTCCTCACGCAGGAATGTGTGTGTGTGTGTTTTCTGGCCTTGAACCGCCGCTCTTATTAAATCCTCCACCCCATGCGGTGTGCCGGGCCGTGCTGACTCGGCTCGTTGGAACGACCGACTCAAAAATGAAGATAACAAACACGCCCATTGTTTCGATTTAAAGCTTTCGGGACTGGACTGCAGGGATTCATCTTCTTGGTTCTTTCGGTAAAGTTACGTAGAAGGGAAGTAATAAAATAATAAAAATAAAACATAATAAAATAATTCTCACGACGTTTCGGCCACAATGCAAGCAGCCGTCTTCAGGTGGAGAACAGGTCTGTCCTCTCGACCGAAACGTCGTGAGAATTATTTTATTATGTTTTATTTTTATTATTTTATTATTTCCCTTCTACGTGACTTTACCGAAAGAACCAAGAAGACGCCCATTGTTGTTGTTGCCCACTCCCAACGACGTTCGCCGTCTGAATCATCATTTATCGTCACGACCCACATCGTTCGGCAGCCGTATCGCGACCGCCCACGGCATCACGGGAGGCAGGGTGCAGCAGGGTGAGCATTTATAGATAGTCGCCCGGCAAGGGAGTGACGACCCAATCCCGCACTGATAACCCGTAAAAACCCGTAAAAACTAAGTTTTTCACTATAAATCCTTTATATGCGTGGCGGCTAGAGTCCTCTCGTCCTCTGGCTTGAGATGGCTGCCACCTATGGGTCAGATGATTGTCTGCCAGTATTAAGCAATTGGTAACTAAATATTTAATTTGTTTTCCCTAAACAGTGTAAAATTTTTGAAAACATTTTTCACGAACATTAATTGTCTCGCACAACGAGTCTGTGTGCAAAATGTCAGCTCGATTGGATCACGGGAAGTGGGTTAAAAAACGACCGAAAGATTTGCACGGTCGTAAGCAAGCAAGCAAGCACGCAAGCAAGCAAGCAAGCACGCAAGCAAGCGAACTTAATATAAAGGATTTAAAAACTGAAGGTGGGCTGGTAATTGAGAGACTACACTCTCTCTCGTTTGAATCGAACAACTTTGAGATTCGTGCATTTCAGGATTGTGGTGGGGGGGGGGTTTGCTAAAACGCAACGCAATAAGAACACAACGACATAACAACGACGATAAACACCACCGCTCCATCAACCAAATAATCGCCGGCCCGCGAACGAACCGCGGTGCAGTGAAAGAATGCGCGAGTTGACTCGCTGCCAAGTCGGCAAAATTCATGGCATGCGGATAGCCACAGGGCCAGCAAGCTCTGACCCCCCCTCTCTCCCTCCCACTCTCCCTCCCCTCCCCATCGCTCCCTCTCGCCCACTCACCCCTCCCCATCTCTCCCTCTCGCCCACTCTCGCTTGTCATCTCCACCACTCTCCATCCCCATCTTCCGCTACCTCTCCCACTCTCCCTCCGCATCCCTCCATCTCTCCCCACTCTCTCCCTTCCAATCGCTCCCACTCACCCCTCCCCATCTCTCTCTCTCTCTCCATCCCCACCCCCCTCTCTCTCGCTCTCTGGGCGCAGTGTTTTTGCTTTGGTACTGCCAGAAGCCAGAAGCTAGGGCCCCATCCTTTCGTGTCAATCACGCCCATTCGCCACGCTCGCCTCTGAATGGTTTATTTATTATTATTTTTAGGGAGAGGCGCCCGGAACAAGGAATTTATTTACGAGAAATTCAAGTTACAGCTCTGTCCAGTGGACTGCGAAAAGACTTGCCCCACCCCCGTGTCATACGAATGTGGAATTTCCAGAACGTACATACAGGTAAAGCAACAGTTGTTGCCCGATCTGATGGAATATGAATATACTTGCCACCGTCGTAGGACTGTGGAATTGCTACAAACGTTACTGCATGGAATTCAGCACCTTTTTATGTCTCATGGACTTTGAAAATACTGGCTCTGTCATAGGAATGTGGAATTTCCAGCAATGGCTTAGGGCGGCCAACGTTGATTAATTACACCACCCCCTCCCACGCCGCCCGTTTAAGCTGGGAGACAATTACAAGAGTTAAAGGCGCGGCCCTGCAATTGCGTCCTCACATCACTGGTGGTGGAAAGGCCTCCACCAGAGGGCGCTCTAGAGGGCTCCTTGGGGGGATATTTGGCCTACTCTTTCGCGTTGGGCACTTTGCCGCACCACACGCGGCGTGCCGATCGACTGACTGTGGCGGTTTTCCCATTCATGCCGCTCATTCGACTGCCGCGCCGGGAAATCGAACGGGCACCCCCTCGTTTAAAAAGAAAAATACATTTATATAGGTGACATTTCGGGCTATAGCCCTTATTCCTTGTACATTTTTTAAACAGGAATCGGAAAAATATATGTAGCTTTGGCTGATGAAAAAAGTTGTGATGCATTGTTCTGTCTCTCTGGGCGATCCAGCTAAGTAAGGGTGGTGGTTGGTGAGCCATCTCTGTTTGGAGTTGTGTAATGGCAATTCAACGTGTCTCTGGGCGGGGACAGTAGGCCCGGCCTGACCACAATGCTCCATGAATTAGACGCGGAAACAGAAGCACATTTACACACACACAGGATGTGTGACCACCCAATGACATCACAATCATACAATGACAACGTTGATGACACACACACACACACCCCACATATCTATACAAAATTGCATAGACGTGTGTGTGTGCGTCCAAGTGTACACGTGATTCCCTACATATGCCCATCGTATACTGTACTAGCAACCATATATACAAACCCCCCTCGCCCCCTCCAACACACACACACACCAACACACACAAAGCACAATGATAGCCTTAACAGACTGTAGAGGCAAGTGCTGTTAGCAAGCACTTATGAAGGCCGGACGGGTACACGAGGGGGTGGGTGGCCAGCACCACGCCCAACCGCCTTTGTCTCCCGAGTGGCGATGTCTATGCACCACACCTGCTTACTCATTTGAGGCTGAGTCGACCTAGGGGAGGCCCAGTTCCGGTTCAGATTTTCGTCGCTGTTATTGGTCGTGAGTGGGAATGAAACGCGGGTCACCGGGTTCGTAGCGCAGTGCGCACTGATACACAAAGACAAAGATCCCCCATATAGCCTTGAACTGTTATCTTTGAAATGTTGGGGCAAGTACTGTTAGCGAGCACCTATGAAGGCCAGCACGGCACAAGAGGGAATGGGTGGCCAGCACCACGCCCGGCCGCCTTTGTCTCCCGAGTGGCGATGTCTATGCACCACACCTGCTTACTCATTTGAGGCTGAGTCGACCTAGGAGATGAGGCCCATGACCGGTTCAGATATAATCGCTCCTCACACACACAAATACACATACACCGCCACACACACACAAAACAAGCAAACTGTCACAAACACACAGAGACACACGTAAACACACTGTTGCCCTGACCTAAACATACCCAAACAAACACACACACACACGTGTATCTGTCCAAACTACACCCACACACACAACATGAGGACAAAGTCCCCCATATAGCCCACAAAGACTATTGGGCCAAGTGTTAGTTAAGATCGGAACGGGGCACGAGACGGTGGCGTGGTTGCCACCGCGCTCAGCCGCCTTTGTCTCCCCGGTGCTGATGTGTTCACGCCGCAGCAGGTAACTCGTTTGAGGCCGAATCGATCTAAGGGAGGCCCAGAACTGGTTCAGAATTCAACTCAGGCGCGCTGCGTTGGTCGGCAGCACAGCTGACTCCTGGCACGCCACCCGCCCCCGTCCAAACTTTAATCTCTCACAAGCACCCGAGTCACATTCACACATTCACACGTACGTGTGTGTGTGTGAAATCAACCAGTCACGAACTCAACCACCCACATACCCTTCAACTACCCATACACACACACAGCAGGGAGCTGTTTTTACTTGCATTCACCAACCCATGCAGAGGCACCCACAACCACTTACCCAACAACCCAACTTATCCATGCCCTTACCCACTAATCCACCTACCACTCAACTATCTGCCCATCCAACTATCTCCCATCCAACTATCGACCCATCAAACTATCTACCCATCCAACTATCGACCCATCCAACTATCGACCCGTACAAATATCTACAGGTTCAAATATCTACCCATCGAACTATCGACCCGTGCAAATATCTACCGATCCAACTATCGACCCGTCCAAATATCTACCCATCCAACCATCTGCCCATCCAACTATCTGCCCATTCAACTATCGACCCATCCAACTATCTCCCCATTCAACTATCGACCCATCCAACTATCTGCCCATTCAACTATCTGCCCATCCAACTATCTCCCCATACAACTATCTTCCCATCCACTTACCCAGCTACCCATTCATCCGTCCAACCACACACCCACCCACCTAACCACCCACCCACCCAGCTAATGCACAAACTCGGCGGCGACACATCGTCGCCTACCTTCTCGTGAGCACGATTCCAGTGCTTGTGCACGTTCCTGGCGAAGAGAGCGGCGCGCGGGGAACCCTCCGCCATGGCGAGCGGACGCGCCGCTGAGACAGCTGCTGCTGCTGCTGAAGCTGCTCGCCTCTGCTGCCTGCACTAGAGAAGAGGGGGGAGGCGTCTTGGTGGTGGGATGGGTGGACCGTGGGGCAGGGCAGTGGAGGCAGGAACAACAGCGTTTCCTCGAAACGGCCACCACCACCACGAACCACACACGCTCCTCCCCACTCGTGCACTCACACCCCCTCGAACGATGCTGCTACTTCCTCCCAATCACCCTCCACTTCCACCCTCCACTGCCACCACCACCATACCCACCAGCCACTACCACCGCTAGAACCACTCACCAACACCCCACCCACCACTATACTCACCCACCACCATATCCACCCACCACCATACCCACCCACCAACACTCCACCCACCAACACCTCACCCACCAACATCACACCCATCACCATACCCACCACCATACCCATCAACACCCCACCCACCACCATATCCACCCACCAACACCCCACCCACCACCATACCCATCCACAAACATTCCACCCACCACCATACCCACCCACCAACACCCCACCCACCACCATACCCACCACCATACCCACAAACACTCCACCCACCACCATACCCACGCACCAACACCACACCCACCAACACTCCAGCCATTATACCCACCCACCACCATACCCACCCACCAACACCCCACCCACCACCATACCCACCACCATATCCACCCACCAACACTCCACCCACCCATCACCATACCCACCCACCAACACTCCACCCACCACCATATCCACCCACCAACACTCCAGACACCACGATACCCTCCGACCGTTCTGTGTGGAGTGTGTCTGTTCTGTGTGGAGTGTGTATGTGTGTGGAGTGTGTATGTGTGAAGTCTGTATGTTGTATGGAGTATGTTGTGTGGAGTGTGTCTGTTCTGTGTGGAGTGTATTTGTTGTGTGGAGTGTGTATGTTGTATGGAGTATGTTGTGTGGAGTGTGTCTGTTCTGTGTGGAGTGTGTATGTGTGTATGTTCTTCCGCTGTTCTGCAAACCCGGCGACCCGAGTTCGATTCTGGATCACGACCAATAACAGTGAACCGTTACTGGACTTCCCCTTGGACGACTCATCGATGCGTGAACATCGCCACGAGGGAGACAAAGGCGGCCGGGCGTGGTACCAGCCACCCACCCCTCTTGTTCCGTGCCGGCCTTCATAGACGCTACTCGCTAACAGCACTTGCCCCAAGAGTATGTGAAGGCTATACGGGGGATCTTTGCCTTTGTTGAATGTGTATGTTCTCTCCCTGTTCTGCGTGAATTTCCACCGGGTTCCCCGGTTTCCTCTTATAGCAAAAAAAAACCCAATGTGACGGATGTTTGGTCAATATAAGTGCAGAACTAAATACTCAGATTACTCATCTGGAATTGTATATCGCAACGTCTCCTCGCCCTCCTCCTCCTGCGAGACCTTGGCAGGAGCCTCCTGACAAAGAGCCTTGAGACTCAGCGAGGCTTTCTTGAGAGAGAAAAAAAACGACGTGTAAGCAAATAACTAAAGATATATATGATACAAACGGGTAAATGTTTAACTCTCGTTTATTATAACCATATTTTTAGTTCACCGTTATGTGCCATACAAAAAAGATAAAGGAGCAGCCCTGCAAATTGACTTGGTCACCCCAAGCCAATTAGCACGGTTGGCTACGTACGGAGCAAAATAATTTCAACATACATACATGAAATGATAGTGATGATGATGGTGGTGGTGATGACAATATGATAGTGATGATGGTGACAATATGGTAGTGATGACAATATTATTGTCATGGCAATATGGTTCCATGATGATGACGTCACCACGACGCTTGTGCCAGGCTATGTGCACCTTGAGGCCACGTGAAGTGTCGAACGCCCGCTGGCAGGAGGTCACGGGGCAGACCCAGGTGCCACGGCTCGACTGACTGAGATGACCAATACGGTAGTAATGACACCTACGTTGACCAGTATAGACGGCTATGACACACCCACTCGCGGAAACCATAGATAACTCTTGTGGAGGGTAATTTGGCCTACTCTTCCACGTTGGTCAGACGTCTTGGACGAGGTGTGAGCAGGGCCGGATTAAGCTAGTGCGGGGCCCGTAGCATATCTTATTAATGTGCCCTAAAAACACGTAAATATTAAAACACATACATTATTAACTTGCCTAGTAAAGTAATTGTATTTTTTCATTTGCTATACAGCCCAGATAATACGACAAATCGCTAACCTTAAACACCCGGTGGTTCAAAAAAGTTGAAGGCGGTATAGTACTATAGTAATAGAGCAAGTGCAGAATCACTGAACCGGAATTTATAGCTTGAAAGCATTTAGCGCGGGGCCCTTGAAAGTGCGGCGCCCGGAGCATGTGTAGCTACTTGTGCTACGAGGGTCATCCGGTACTGCGTGTGAGTGCCCACACTTTAGCCCATCGCACGAGACGTGCTGATCGAGGTTACCGTGATGTCCCCACGCTTCGGTATGTTGCTGTGGGGAGACAAAGGCGGCAGTGTTAGGGACAATGGCCGTGTTTTCAACAGGGAGATAGAACCGGTGGACCTCTGTGTCGTGTGCTTTGCTCATGACAGTGGCATTAGCACTCCAGAGTGTGCCAACCATTAACAACAACACCACGGAATCAGCCAATGTGCCGCTCATTTATGATGAAGGTAAGGCACATGCACCGCCCGTTTGTCGATCCACTGCTGGATGAAAGCCTCATGTCGGATCATTGAGGGCATAACGGTGGCTCCGAGATGTTAACTCCCTCGCCTGGTGTGCAGGAAGTTGTGGGTTCGAACCCGACCGTGACGCCTGCTGCTGTATATTTGGAGTTTGCATGTCTCTCTCTGCCCGTGGTCGCGCGGTTTTTTTCTCCGGATCCTCGGGGTTTTCCCTCCACATTTAGAGACTGCGTTTAGAGTTGTTGGCTGCAATACATTTCCGCACGAACACATTCCTGCGGAGGGAGCTGGTAGGAACGTTGAGTTGCTCGGTCAATGGCCAGGGTCAACGGCGGCGTGGTGTATTCCGCAAATATGGGCGACTGTGAGGGCGGGCACAAGCCGGCGTGAGTAGGTTAAACGTTGAGTTTTATAAGGGCACCACGTGGTGACCAGCCCCTCCCCACCCAGCCCCACCCCTCCCACCCCCCACCCAGCCCTCCCCACCCTCCCCACCCACCCACTCCCCACCCTCCCCACCCAGCCCCTCCCTTCACGACGGTCGGACGGACACAAGAATCCCCTGTGGGCTGGTGTAACCAGGAGGTTCCTACCAGTATATACCACTCCTTGAGCTGTCATTTGTGGTGACCAGGTCGCTTCTGAAAAAGATCTACGTAGCTCGGTGGGGCCTTCGCTGCTAACATTTTTATTTTTTTAATAAACCGTTGCATCCCTTTTGCAGCGTGGGTGGGTGGCTGTTGTTTTGTCAGGCGAGGGGAGGGAAACGTTTCGATGTCATTGCCATTGAGGAAAGGGAAATGCGTGACATTTTCCGTTAATCACCAGCAGGCGTCACTGGAGGCGAAATTTAACAGCCCCCATGGCGAACGGAACGCTTCGAAGAACAACAACAGAATTTTGACTTTTTTGTACTTTCAAACAACTTTTATTGCCGCCAGCAGCAACAGCACTGGAGGCGATTCCGATACGAAATATACAGTCACCAGCAAACAAATAACAAACGCTGTACATCCACGCTGTGTGGTGCTAAATGCGCCGCGCTCAACACAAAAGAAAAGTCACGTGGTGGTGGTGGTGGTCACAGAAGGCTCAACGCACTCGTCAATAACACGATCCAGGCTCCAACCTGCTCAGCTTACGAAATGGAGACGAGATCGAGTGCATATTCGGTCATGTGGACGACATTTTCAGAATAAATCAATTTTATAACAGTTCTTTCGTTTCTCAGTCCGCTTGCATGTTGAGTAGGGTGGTCCAGACCTTCTTTCCCTGGCGACAGACTCTAGTACTACTACACTATACACTACTACACTACACTATACACTATTATACACTACTACATGATACACTACTATACACAGACTCTAGCTCTTCCTGGGGAATTCCCAGGCGTTCCCAGGCCAGTTTACATTGCAGTATACATTACAGTAGACCTCGAAAATCAGATAAAGCCTCCCATAAAACACGTGACCTGTGTAGCCACTCCGACTGAATCCCTCCCCCCGCCGCCCACTGTGAAAACAGACGATGCTCTTCCTGACCCTGTGCTCCCATTTCTCGATTCCTTTTCCATCATTTTCCTCTCATTTCCCATTCGTTCTCTTCTCTCTTCCCCACCACCGCCCCCATACATTGCATCCTTGACTCTACGATCCTTGCCGTGGCGTGCCACTGCTACCAAGTTGCGAGCGATCGCAACCAACATTCCCCAAACCCATTCGAAATCGCACATTCTGAACCGGCACGAAACATGATTACGCGGTATTTATGATTGTGCATTCGCTAACATTGTTGCAGAAGTCAAGGCGCAATTGGTGACCTTAATTAGAAGCTCTCAGCGCGGATGTATTGTGATTGGAGCGCCGAGCATGTAATTGCCTGCTTGCTTTGTCAAATGTGTTGTCGTTCACTAATTGCAATTAAAGTTCACCACGGTATCTGCCACTAATGAGCTATGAAACACAAGGCGGTGTGAGTGCTGCCACGATGCTTATAATCTCGTAATTTATATTTTATTTTTCTACCCAGCAAAGGATCCCCGTGTACCTCAGGAGGGTGCGAAAACGTTGGGATGTTTGGCTAATTCCATTCAGGGTTGTGTTGCAGAGAGAATGTAACAAATACACGTGCGAAAGAATAATTTACATACATTCGCAATTCCACTGCTGGATGAAGGTCACACCCGGACGCTTTGCAGTGCGAATAATGAAACCAACTTGAACACAATTTTGATTTAAAGCTTTCGTGACTGCAGGGATTCATACTCTTGGTTCTTTCGGTAAAGTCACGTAGAAGGGAAATAATAAAGTAATAATAAAATAATAAAAGAAAATATTGTTTTATATTTGTATTATTTTTCCGCCTTAGGACGACTGCTTGTGTTGCGATCGAAACGTCGTGATATTTTAATTTTTGTTTCATTTTATTTTTCTACCTACGTGACTTTACCGAAAGAACCAAATAGTATGTATGTAATTAGTACTTATGTAGTGACATAGCGCTGTTGGACAGCAGCAGCGACTGCAGGTGGACACTTAGCGTACACGTCGCTGAGCATACACGCGGGTGTGCCGGCAGGGCGGAGGAACTGGGGCAAGGGTCACGGTAGACCTCGTGGGGAAGCCCCTGGAACCCTCTGGAGGCTAGGGCGGAGCCAAGCCGCGCCGAGGAGAATAAAAGCAGCGGAGAGCAAGAGCTCCGGGCTGCCGGTTCTGGGAGTGGACTCGTCTCGTTGTCGTCACCGCCCTCGTCGCTGCCGCCTTCGCCCGGGCATTGCGCGGCCGGACAGTGGTTGGCTGTCCCGGTCGACGCCGTCGGTGCAACGCGGGCAGCGTCGTGTCGGGGACGGGTCATGCGGCAGCGGGGTCGTGTGTGTGAGAGAGGGGGGGGCCCGAGTGGTGGCGTGAGCTCGGCAACAACAGCAACGAATAAAGAGGGCAGAGCGGTGCCCAGAGGTCGCAAACAGGTTTTGATTCCTTACCCGTACCCGGCCACACCAGGGTCGCAAATGGGTACCCATACCCGTACCCGGCCGGGTACGGGTACCCGTTCCCTACCCGTACCCATACCCTACCCGAAATGAGTGACAAACGGTTACTCACCAGTGACTCACGGCCTACCCGTACCCGGCTGCACCAGGGTCGCAAACGGGTACCCGTACCCGTACCTGGCCGGGTAGCCGGGTATCGGGTAGGGTACGGGTATCGGGTACCCGGTTGCGACCTCTGGCGGTGCCTTCCTGCAACCACCTCGTCTCCGGCTCATTGTGTGTGCGATGTACGCCACCTGCATACACAGACGACACTACACTTGTATACGTTATTTTGTATTTATTTGAGTGACTTGCTTACCTTTACTACTGTTTGTTGTTGCAACTTGCTGACCCACCACCTACCGGACATCTATGCAAAAGAGCTTTATAGGTCATCGGATTCCTCCAGTCTCATTCAAATATGTCGATCCTCTGCTGGAAAAAGGCATCTGGGACCGTCCATAAATGACGTCACGCGATTTTGGCCGATTTTTGACCCCCCCTCCCCCCCTCGTCACACGGCGTCACAAAAAGTCAGACCCCCCTCAAATATGACGTCACAAAGCTCTGCCCCCCCCCCCCCTTAAAACCATATTTCCATTTTTAAAATAAAACATGCTTCAAATCACTTTTAACTATTGTCATTGTATTTAATGTGGCGCTGCACTCTGATGTTGTAGAAAAAAACATGTATTAAAAAGGTGTTGGAAAGCTGAAATTTATCATAAAATTCACTTGAGAACTGCAGATGTTCAGAATATTATATTGAAATTCTCTTACAATTATCAAATATTTAAAGTAATTATGACTATAAAAAATACTTGAAACTTTGTAGTAGAACGAAGCAAAATGGAGAGTCAAATTATAACAATCACATTTTCATTCCACAGAACGAAAAGCCCTGGTAGAATCATTAGAATCAAAATGTTTAATAGTAATCATTTAAAAAATGTACAAAATGTATGCTTCTCCTTTCTCCCATGGAGAAGCAAAATGCTCCTTCATGGAATAAAAAATACAATTATTTTTTTGCGTGTAAAATACTAAATCGTGCACACGATATACTGAATCGTGAGCGGTTTACAATTTTTTTTTCATTTCCATAAGGGAACTCCGTAGTTAAATCAAAGATCCTAAATGGTTACATTCAGTCACGCCTTGTTCATAGTCGGACAATGGTGAAAAGAAACCTGACGCCATTTTCAAGGTACAAAGAACAAAAATTTCACGGATGAATAATTAATCATGGAGGACGCGTTAGCTATTGTACGCTTGCCGAATGACGTATATTTAGTAGGAACTCCATGATTATCCCTCCACGCTCAAAAATGGCCGTTTGATATCTTAGTGTTGTTATAACAATTATATTTAATTAAGTAGAACGTGTTGTTTATATTTCTTTAAAGTTGCGCATTTTTACGTGACGTCACATTTCTCAAACCCCCCTCGTCACACATCGTCACAAATGTCTGACCCTCCCCCCTAGGTGAGTGACGTCATTTATGGACGGCCCCTCTGCCCACGCGGTGTTGTTCATCAAGAGTTTGTTTCACCATACTCAAGCACGCGGGATTAGGTTGGCGGGCGAGTGGTTACCACTGATGTTAGCAGTGGCCCGGATTCGAACTCAAGATTTTCCGAGTACGTAGTGCAGTGCACTAACCACTGCGCCACCGCTCCCCCTAAATACTGGACACATAAGATTAGGATGTGCAAGTTGATTTTCTGATTAAGTGTTTAGGAATTATTTAATACTAATTCAACCCATGTATATGTATGAGGATGAGCTCATGTATTTATAAGCATAGTTTTACATATAATGTATATGCATTATATGTTAATGTTCTTAATACTTCAATACAGCCCAATGTAATTATGGTAATATCTTACTAGTGCCTTGTGCAGTACACTACTGTAGTTCGCATCAGTAGCAGCTATGATTTATTCTATCCACTGCTGTGTTCTCAGGTGAGCTGGATGAAGACTATATTTTTTGTAGCCAAAACATTGATCCATATTGAACCTATATTTAACCTATAGTGAACCTCCATTGAACATATATTGAACATACAACATAAAACAATGGGGTTTTGTAGCCAAAACATTGATCCATATTTATTCTCGGGTTCAGCCAAGTGGTAGTTGCATGCCATAATTATCGTAATCAAACCTTCCACCACCTGCCAAGACTGTCAAGATTATAATATTATTATTTATACGTGGCCAATGTATTGATAATCAAATTCCCACCATGCCATCAACCAATTACCAAAAAATTAGTAATTTAGACATTTATTTGTAGCTTGGGCCTTCTGTCTGAGACCTTACAACCATTCACTGGCAAGACCACCTCAGCTGTACTTAACTCAGCTCACTTGGTATCGTTAATTAAGGACATCTCACTATCTCCAGGTGATTTGCTCGTTAGTTTTCGATGTAGCCTCTTTGCTGATGTCTTCAATGCAATCATTGAAGACTTGGTCCAACATGGACTGAATGCTGATGTACCAGCCCTGGAGAGACACTGCCTCACCAACACTTACTTCACCTGAAATGGAACTTTCTACAAACAAGTTGAAGGTACCCCAATGGGTTCTCCCTTATCTTCAGTTGTAGCCAATGTTTTCATGTACAAATTTTAGACAAATGCCATCCAGGCATCTACGCTACGTCCGTCCTTGTGGAAGAGGTACATAGATGACACGTTCGTCATCTGGCCACATGGCCGACCAGATCTGAACCAATTCCTCAACCATATAAATTCCATACACTGAGCCATCAAATTAACCACGTAGGTAGAAAAGGATGGCAAGCTACCATTCTTGAATGTTTGAATCAAAAGGAGACCAGATGGCTTAATGGGACACTCTGTCTACAGGAAAGCCACCCATACGGATGCATATCTAAAACCTGACTCCTACCACCATCCTTCCCAGAAAAATTCCCTCATCAAAAGTCTACACCATAGAGCTCAATGTATTGACGACCACCATCACCTAGCGAGTGAACTGAAACACGTACACCAAGCTCTCAAGATGAACGGATATTCAGACTGCACAATCCGTAAAGCTCTCACCCCAACCGTTGGGAAAGAACCATCTGAGGATCCAATCAAAACCATCACCTTGCCATACAGAGCAGGGGGTTACCAAAAAGATCTCCAAAATCATGAGCAAACACAAGATCCAGGTTCGATTTAACACAGTACGTAAAATTCGTGATCTGATCCCATCTGTGAAGGATGTGATCCCTGACATGCAATACCCCGGCGTCTACAAACTAAGCTGTGTCTGCGGCAGTAATTACATTGGGGAAACTAAGCGACATGTCTCGGACCATGTTCGTGAACATAAGGCAGATCTGAAACACGGCAGGACCAATACCTCGGCCGTGGCTGATCATTGTTTTAATGCGGTGGGCTCACACGAAATTGATTTCTCTAAGACGAAGGTACTTTGAAAACCCACCGGCTATCAACAAAGATTCGTTCATGAAGCCATCCACATATACAGACAGAACTTCAATCGAGAAGACGGGTAAAAACTGAGCAATCATTGGAAGGATAGTATCAACCAATTTAAGTCATAACTGGCTGTGACGTTCCCATCCTACCACCTTCTGATGTCAGTTATCATTTTCGGCTCTCTGATTTCACATTAACAGGTTAAATTTCCCACACTAACACAGCTGCCGAGCTCGACGTTGCTGCTCTGCGATCTACCATTAACATGCTAATTTCTCACATTTACATAGCCACCTCTGCGCCCTTGTCGTGGTCACCCTCCGATCTCCCATTAACATGCTAATTTCTCACATTAACATCGCAACCTTCGCGACCTCGTGGGGGCCGCTCTCCGATCTCCCATTAACATGCTAATTTCTCTCATTAACATAACTAGCCCCGCCCATTTCTTTTATGACCCATGGGCTACACCCATTTTAACCTTTAAAACAGTCTTCTTCAGCGACTTTCCCCTTCTTTTTTTCCTCCTGATGACGATCGCTTGTGTTGTGATGGAAACGTCTTAGTTTTTTTTTCTTATTTTTTTGTTATTTTTTTTGAACCTATTTACGCGACTTTACCGAAAGACCCAAAGAATATGAATTCCTGCAGTCGCGAAAGCTTCAAGTCTAGGGTTATGAATCCTTACACATAAAGAAAAAAGTCTTGCGTCGTCGTCTCTATCGGTAAAAAGTTGTGGAGCTCCCATGATGCGGGGAAGCACCACCAACACCACCACCACTAACCACCCCGTCTCGTCTCAACGCTGTCTCCCCGCTCACTCGAGTGATGAGCGGCGGTGTTGTGGGGGGGTAGCCCACCCGCTCGCTCGCTCGCTCTATTTAAAGAGGAGATAATACGAATCGAGGTGGGGTGGTTGAGAGAGAAGTGGGGAGAGAGAGAGAGAAAAAACCCCAACGCGGCGGAGAAGCGAAGACGGGAAGAGAGCGAGCGACATTTAACAACAACAAACCGCACGCGGACATCGAACGGGGCTACCGACGAGTGGCGAAACACAACAAGGTGGGGTGAGGAGAGGGGGGGGGGTAAAGAAGACGAAAATAAAAAAGCGCGCGCTGTCGGGATTTATGAAAAATGATAATTCTGTTATCTTATTAACATAATTTATCAATGTATGAAGCGCCTCAGCACGTTAATTGTACCGCCGCGTATTTCCGGTAGAATGGGGCCTAGGTCTCCCCGGGCCCCCATGCGTCGCCTGGCGGTCGCTGCCGCTCTTGGAGCAGCATCCTCCGGCGGAGCGGTCAGGCAAGGCGCCGGCCTTTGCCGATTCCGCGAACTCCCCACCCCCACGGCTAAGTGGGGTCTTGCCCGTTGAGGCGCGCCGTGTCCGGCCGGGGTGCTCAGGAAAGGGTCGGGGGTTGGGCTCGCGAGAACGGCCCGGCCTTGTTTATGTAGCGTGCAACTCGGCGAATATAATTGTTAATTGCTATGCGATTTGTTATGAATGTCGATGCTATTTGAGAATTTGTATGCTGTGTTTTAGATTCACGTGTTGTTTTGATAGCTTGATCGAAGTTTGTGGATTTTTGAGCGGGATTATGGAGCCGATGGCTCAACGAGCGGCCTAGAAGCAAGTGAATATTTGTGGTGATGTTTATTTAGAATTAACAGTTAAATAATGTAATGGTTCTACGAAATTAAGACATTTCTGAAGGTATACCACATTATGTAATATCACTGTCTGTATTGGTATCCGTGCAGCTGCGAGATGTTTTTGCACTGTCGCATTGTTTATTCGGTAAAACTCGCGCCTTCGCAAAACAAGCGAATACTTTTTTTTAAAGACATTGTTTTTAAGTAATTTATTCTCATCCGTTGCATACGTTTCGCAGTTTACAACGCTATAGTGTTGGCAATAAAGGCGCAACATGTGGCAATATAATCATTATTGGCTAAACATATCTTACCTACACAGTACAGTATTGTACGTCACTGTATTGGATTTTTTAATTGCCAGTTCATGAGTGAAACAGACCTCGTTATTATGATATAAAGGTTCAGTAGTGACGAATTTCCTCTCAATATCTGACGAAACAGGCTTCGATAGCGTTTGTTTATTGGCACTTCAACGAATCGACATGTGCGCCGTGTGTTAAGCAATCGCCAATTAGCAAGCGACACAAATGCCTTACAATTTATATCAGTAAAAAAAATGTATTCTGCAAGTGGCAAACCCGGGAGGCCGATTCGGAACAAAAACGACTTGAGTGCCTTTGCACGTTGTTTAAGACAAGAGTTGCCGGGGTTGAGTGGTGTTTAGTCAAATTACTTCCACCACCACCACTCCAATGTTGTTGCGAAAATTGAGGAGCCCATTTGGGATTTACTGCAGCTCTGTGAGATTTGTTCACGTGATCACATCAAGACTATTAATGGTCTTTAAAAATATATATACAGAGTTTTGTTTGTTTCAGCTATGACTGATGCACAATGCCATTTTTCAGAAATGTTAAGTTGGGAGATTGACTCTTCTGCCCCTTTCACTGTGCGCGGTGACATGTCCTAGCGAAATTGTACAGGTGTGTCACGGTTAGAACCCAGCGACCGCCCTGATAATTATTACAGCAAAGGTGCAATAGTCAAAGCAATACGCGCCGTCTATTTTATCACAGTGGACGCTAAGTCCTTGACTTCATTCACAAAAGTTAGGCCAGGGTTCGGGAACCTTTTTGACTGGGAGAGCCATAAAAGCCAAATATTTCTAAATATATTTCATTGAGAGCCATATAGTATTTTTAACGTATAATAAATTAAATATGTCTTAATTTTAATGCGACTTCTGGTGCTGCGTGGTTTTGCTGATGGCCTTGTAGTCTGGTTCATACGTGGTGAGGTTGAGCTTCGTGCAGGCGTGACCCGTGAAATTTATCTTCAAAACTAATTTCTGTTTACTTTAAAATGACACAGTATTATTAAGTAATATCACAAGTATTTTAAAATCAGTTCCAAACTGATTTTTTATTTTTTTAAATTATTGTTTCAACTCAAAATTGTCTGGGAGCCATATGCTGTCACTGGAAGAGCCATATATGGCTCGCGAGCCATAGGTTCCCGACCGCTGAGTTAGGCCATTGTGTGCTGCCGTCAGGGTGCGAACGTGAACATTTACCTGCAAAATACTCAATTGGGATTTTACGGTAACATTGCCCTCGACTGCAACAACTGCTTCCAGACCATGTCTGTGAACCGTAGCACCTTTTCAGTGATAGCCTTGCATGATTGGAGTGGTGCGAATACCATCAGTGCACATGATTTCGTGATTGATTTGATCAGCCTCAATTGATTTTCAAGTTCCCAATCAAGTGAAGCTCAAAGCAGTTTGTGCAAAACGTATGTTATTCGGTCATGAAAATGAGCTTTATTGTTCAGAATTTTATCAAAACACTGGCACGTATAAATGTCTTTGTAAACGTGACAATCTTGTTAGATGGAGGTGGGTTAATGACAATAACAAAACGACCACGTGGCCTAACCAAAAAAGCTAATATGTAAGTTTAACACGTAGGCTTTCGCGACCAATATCCATAATATATTGTTTTAATGGTTATATCGGGGCCAAATTTACATTTCAAGTCAAATCAAGTCAATCTGTGCACAGTCTAAAACAAGCCTCATCTATAATAGAGGTATGTTGGGTTATATCGCGTAAATATAAATGTGTCGTTAAACCCGACACCACCCGGCACAGCCAATGAGTAAGGTTTGACACGTAAAAAAACATGCTAATTGGTTACTAGTACAGCACACTGGTGTGTTGGAGATTATACCCACAACATTTATAACTCGAGTACGACATTTCGCCAATAATTACAACTAGCATCATCAGGCGACAGCCAGAGTTGTGGAGAAATCCTCCTGTTTAGTTCTTAGAGGGATAAATGTGATGACGTCAATTATTTAGCCAATCGGTTACAAATGCTGGGGGGGGGGGGGTCATGCCATTTAGAGAAATATTTGTTTTACCATTCTCATAGGTACAGGCAAAGTGCTTCTTGGAAGCGAATTATCAAGTAATACACTGTTTAACTGCACAGGTCACCATACATCGATGGTGATTATCTGTGAGCAGACAATAACAGGTATTGTGATTTCTTGCACCCAAAAACGGTAGGATGTGCATGTATGGCGTGCATGCATAATGCGCATGCATAATGTATGTGAATCGCGCATGCGCGTTGTGCATGTACATTATGTAAATTGATTACCATATGAATAACCCAACCAGTAAAGGATATGCATAGTAATTTATATGCATACATTAACCCCCCCCCCCCCCTTCTAGCCTTCGCTCCTGATTGGCTCACAAGTGACAGCATCACATTTATCCCTCTTAGACCGAAACAGGAATTGTAAATGTTGTGGCTTTACTCTCCAACACACCGATGTGCCGTACTAGTAGCGAAGTGGCATGTTTTGTTTATGTGACAAACCTGACTAATTGGCTGTCGGGTGGTGGTGGGTTTAACAACACAATTATATTTACGTGATCTAACACAAACACCTAGATTATGGATAACATTTGTAACATTGCATTGGCGAATATGGATCATTGCAAATGAAAAAGCAGTGTAAACTCGGTGTCTACAACATCTACATGACATTCAAAGGTGGGTGTAAAATATAATGCCACAGCATAACAAGCAGGCATGTGAGGCAAAACAACAAGTCAAAACCGGCTCAGTAGTGTACGCGTGAAGGTACTAATCCTAAAAGTCTGCAACCACACTGTTGATGAACCTCAACAAGCCGAAACCAATTCAGACTTGGATGCTGCCGAGAAGCACTAGTCCAGAATACCCGTGATATATTGGTGATGCTGCTCCAACCATCGTCCGTGAACCCTATTTCCTCCGAGGCCCTTGCCTGTGTATTACTGTGTTAATAACACCGAGGTTGTGTTTGTCTGGTGTACAGGGAGTCTGGTTGGTGGCCTCAGCAAACAGTGGGGCCTCAGTGTGACAATGGAGCTGCTTGCAGGTGTCACCCTAGCCGACCACGGTGGGCGGGTGAGTGTCCGCGCACAATTGATAAAAACATTTTTCATACAATCGGTATTTGCAACATTCTTATAGCTTAAGGCTGTCGCAAAGTAGCAGTCAGCAGTAGTATTACAGTGGGGGCGATGTTGCTGTGTAATCCATATTTTATTAATTTGCAGGTAATTTGGTAAATTTGGACCGTGATGCCAGCACACAATGACTTCACGAGATCTCTATTGTCCACCGTGAAGCAGATGGTCCATATTTTACGGGTAATAATATACCCTCATTAATAACTAGGGCGGCCAGTCAGATTTAATCTCCAAAGCTCGGCAACGAGTAGCGAGTGCTGCTGGGCCACTTGACCTCTCCAAAAATTGTCGTCGAAGGTTGGATTGAGACCCCTGGACGTGCAGAGTACAGTAGATTAGCACTCCATCGCCTTAACCACTCGGGCACCTCGTCTGCATATTCTCAGATTAACGTGATCCATTGTAATTTATATGACTACATTAACTCCCCTTTAATCTATTTAAAACTCTCCGATCTTACATTAACATGCTAATTTATTACATTAACATCACTAGCCCCACCCACTTCGTTTATATTCCTTGGGCTACGCCCATTTTAAACCTCTAAAACAGACTGCCTTAATCAGTTTTCCCCCTCTTTTTTTACTCCTGATGACGATCACTTGTGTTGTGATGGAAACGTCGTAGTTTTTTATTTATTTTATTAATTTGAACCTATCTATGTGACTTTACCAAAAACCCAGAGAATACTGTAGTAACTCATTGGCACGATTTGTTTACGTGACAAACCTTACTAATTGGCTGTTTCGGGTGGTGGCGGGTTTAGCGACACATTTATATTTGCGCGATCTAACCTAAAAAACACCTTTATCATGGATAATATTGGTCGCGAAAGCATTCGTGTTAAATTCACATGGCATGCTGATGGCAGGAGTACAATATACGCTTCGATATTTCGCCATTGCTCTTTGCCAAACTTCTCGCGTAGTTAAAGTGACACTCGGTGACCCTGGCAGGAGGTGCTGATGTGCGGAGATCAGTCGGACCCCGTGGGTCAGACGTTTGGGGACGACGTGACGGACGGCGAGAAGGACGCAGGGGACATGACCATGGAGGTGGTCGAGGAGGAGGCGGGCGCCATTGAGACGGAGGAAACGCACGGTCCAGTGGACGGCGGAGACACGACAATGTTGATGAGTAAAGAAGGTATGGAAGCTCTTACGACAATGCACTTGTAAGCCAACTAGCGTTTCCACTTTGGAGGAGGGGAAAAACGGGACGTGTCATGGGAAGAAAAATACCTCAATACCAAACGAGGGCAGAACTACATTTAAATGCGTTGTCTTGAGTGGTGCATTATTATGCAGCTGACAAAAAGTGGGATATTCAATGTCTCGGGAACAATTATAGATTGTCTAGGACAGCCACATTAATATAAGGACGTACTGGGAAAACCAGGACAAGTGGAAACCTTAAAGCTAACTCTATTTTTAAACAGGATAGTTTTACAATTATGCAGCTTGGTTGGCTTCTGCAAATAATTTGGTTGCAAGGTCTGGATATGAGGTAGTCAACTCAAATTTCCAGGGTGAAGACGGAGGGATTTCCCTGATAAAAAAAATCACCGATAATGTAGAACACATATAAAGTAGCTGATAAAAAACACATACAGTACTAAAAACACATAATGTAACTGGTATTGGCCAAACATCCCAATGCTGAAGAATTACCTGCAAATGCATTGAGATTTTACACACAACTACATCACCTTAAACTGTGAAAACTGGGCAGTACCCTCCTGAAAAAAAAGTCTTGAGGCTTTCCAAGGTAGAGAAGCATAATCATAAAATTATTTTTGCGTATTATTGCTTACCTCTGTAGAATGAATGGTGATGGAATGTCTCATCCGTTTGTAATGCTTATTAAAGTAATTGAGTCACGAGTTATGAGTAACTATTACTAGGAGTGTTCATAAATAGGCACGCACCAGCGTGAAATACCTTAATTTATATTTTTCATTTATTTATTCGCACGGATGATTAATCCGCAACCGCGTAAATCTACCCACGGATAACCGAGCATGAGCTGTAGCTTGACATGTGGCGATGCATTCGCCAGGTGAGGTACGCCGTGCATCTGTCTTAAGATGCTGCTCACTGCTGCTTTGACACACTCCACTCCCTCTTGTTGAGTGGAGCTTAAGCTGAGCCTCAATTAAAATCATCATCTTCATCATCATCTTCTTACACTCTATCTTTTTTGCGAGCCTTGCTGCCCAGCCTCACCCTGTTATCATTATCTCATTATTGATGTGGCTGTATAATGGGTTTCGTGCGCGATGGGTTTTGTCCTCGTTGTGCAATTAAGAGGTAAGCATCTGGGTAATTACAGAACAGTGGCCGGAAATGTGATAATTACAAATGAGTGGACGACCGAATGAATTCCTTTTATTGGGATAATTACGTCTGATTCATGAGAGCGATAAAAATAAAATAAAAAATACTCTTATTTGTATGCGGTTCCAAGCAGCTTCAATGTAATTTGTTGGTTTGTTTGCGCAATCACGTGTGATGGGATGCCACAGTCCAGAGCACCCGCTAAAGTGGAAATGGCTTCATGAAGCTGCTCTGCTAATGAGACCATGCATGACCTCGGAAAATTTTACAGGCGAACTCTAATTTCTTCAGAATTAAGTGATGACCGAATCCATTTCCATTCCTTTTTGGAGATATTATGCCATGGCCTGCTTCCAACAGAAAATAGTAAAAACGCATACGGCAAGGGGCATTTACTTCCTGTTATCTCGTATGGCGGGAAGGTGATCAATGACGTTTCTACGTTCATGGTGGGGTGGATGAGCCAGTGGACAGCATCAGGCTGAATCTCTGGCAGCGAATGATCGAAGCAGGCAGTGACGTTACTTTGTGCTACATGCTTTAAGATTGCCGACTGTAGTTGGACTGTGCGCTCGTATGCATTTTTCATCAAGTGTAGGAGACGTGACGCAAGTGTGGTGATTGTGCATTTGTACGTGTGTTTTGGCAGAGTCTCAGGGAAACCTACAGGAAGCTGCCAGAGCTGTCGTCGAGATTGGCAAGGCAAACCACGTGCCTGGCAATGCAGGCGCAACACAGGTGTGAGCGGCGAGCGTGTGTGCCGTGTGCATATGTGTGCCCCAGAACGGGGGAGCGGTGGCCCACCTTTTCACGCGTGTGCACTATGATCCTCGCATTCTGAGCACGTTTCCTGGCCATGGATAACATCAGCAGCGAGTGATATATAAACATTTCCTGGCCCTCTTCTAGGTTGATTTGGCATTAAATGAGTACTTGATCCCTGTGTGTATTCATTAGCGTTGGTTGCGATGCTGGCCACACATCACCTCATCGTGTGCGGTGCTCCCCAACAGCACTTGTTGCAACACTTTGTAAGTTTAAACACGGGATCATCACATTTTTGTACCCGCCTGTGTGCCTCTGTCTCACCAGGCGAGTTTGCCAGTGATTGTAAGGCGACAATCACGAGTAAGATCCTCCCTTGGGCCAAGCTTGTCTTAAGGAGATTACTTGGCGGGTGTGTGTGAGTCACCATCCTTAACGGAGACCAATGTGCTTGAGCATGTGTTGTTCCGGTTCAGTTGCTCCCGCGGTTTATGTGCTAGCCTGATACAAGGTGCTCTATAATCTTGATCACGCTTGTTGAAAAAAATATGAAAAATAACAGACAGCCGTTTATCAATCCAACAGTGAAGGCCTCCCCTCTAGACAAAGTCGATTATGCAAGTGTGTTTATGTACTATCATTCACCGTACTGGTCAGTGCAGGTTGATGGAGAGTTAGGACCCAGAACCAGTTCAGATATCGTTCACTGCTGATATGAACTGTGATAAGGAATAAAATTCAGGTGACTGGGTTCACAGTGCAGTGCTCTATCCACTACATCTCCATCGCAAAATTACTTTGAAAGTTGATGTAATCCTACGCTGAACTTCCACAATATTTTTGCAGGTGTTGCCCTAACCTCTTTAAATTACTGCGCATGAACCGCAATTGTAAGGTGTGACTAATTGCAATTTACACTTTCTGAGAACAGCAGTGGTCTGCAATTACTTGATCTCATTATTGCGAGAGGGGTCGCTATCACACCTGTTGCACATTGTCAAGCAGCTGAATCTGCGGCTCATTATATTTTTCCTGGCAAGGTGAGAAAATAAGTACCCTCACAGTTGTACCGATATATGCAAACACCATGGGATCACAAAAAATCTCCCCATAATAGAGGTTTTTTTTGGGTCAGATCACGTAAATATAAATGTGGCGTTAAAACCCGCCACCAGCCATAACGATAAATAATACTGCCCTTAATCCAATAAATATTTATCGACTCTCAACTATTTTTCACAAGGGTCCTGCATTGGGATTGTTTAGCCAATTCTTTTAAGGAGTGTTTGGTATGTGTTAGGAAACCGGAGTGCCCAGCGAATAATTTACCATGCATAAGAGAGGATTAACATTCATAGCTCAACATAAATTACCGAATTTACTGCTGTGCAGCCGTCCCCTGGATGCCTTCTGTCCCGTGTACAGCGTGTGGTGTTCTCCCATCCAAACACTAACCAGGTTGAAAATCCTACTTGGCTTCCATGGTCCAGATTACAATCATCGTAATTCTCTCCGATGTGTTTACGGGTTGTATTGCACATTATTCGGCACGATGGCCGACGTTTCGCTCGACGTGCTGATGTGAGCTTCGGAAAAAAATATTTCTGGCTGCTGCTGGTGGTGTTGCTGGTGTGCCCTGTTCTTGAGGCTGTTCGGCTTAGCTTTATGACATGAAGCCGGTTAATTGAGCGAAACGTCGGGCATCATGCCGAACAACGTGTGATGCACAACCCGAGCACACGCCACGGAGCAATACAGCTCAATCCCAAACACCTACACAGCGATATCACTGTAATGCTGTGGTGGCGAGATGTTACCTACCTCGGCTGGTATACAGGAGGTCATGGGTTCGATCACGACCCTGACACCTGTTTAGTTGGAGTTTGCATGTCTCCTTCCCCGCGGTCACATGGTTTTTCTCCGAGTCTTCCGGTTTTCCCCCCGCACATTTAGAATCGACATGTGTTTAAGAGTATTTGGCTGCTATAAATATCCATGTGATAAGCCAGTTCATTGGGCTATCATTTGTGACCAGGTCGCTTCTGAAGAAAGAGCTACATAGCTCACTCAGTGGGCCTTAGCTGGTAAAACATAGTCTAATTTTATAGTTTAAACTGGTAGTTGCTCACTCGTTTTCATTGTTCGCTGCCATCGTCGTTTGCGTTTGTGCCAACAGATAATTTTTAGTCAGGCGCTGGGCCAAACGCTGGGGCAGACGGTGTCTGCCGGGATGATGGCCCAGCCTGGAGGTCAGCCCTTCCTTATCCCCATCAGCCTGGCAGGGCAGCTGGGTGGCTCCCAGCAGAGCCTGCTGTTCACGCTCCCATCCGGGGGGCTCGGCGATGCCGCGACAGCAGGAGGCGGAGCAGTTGGCGGCACGAGTGGCGGCGGTGGTGCTGCACCCATGTGGTGGCAGCTGCTGGGTGCCGGGGGCTCCGGTGTCCAGGGTGCCTTGATGGGCACCGGCAACGCCGGCGGTTTGGCGACCAGTGCGCTGAATCTGGCCGGGATTCAGACGCTGGGGATGACAACGGGTGGGGGAGGGGGGCTGGTGGTGCTGCCCCTACAGACGCTGCAGGGTACGTGCGTTTGTTTTTGTTGTTTAGATAAAAACTCAATTCAGTCCGTTGTCCAACAAGCTGGTACAAGCCCATCCTACGTACAGGGTGATTTAGTTATTTTGCTAAGCTGCTTTTATCTTTAAAACTATCAAGAACCCTGAAGCCCGATTAGGGTTCATCCTCAACTGACCGGTCAATTATTTACATTGGGTTCTTGAAAATCAAGCTTTGTCCGCCAGATGGGACAACCACTCATTGAGATTACCACGGAACCATTTCATTACAGATTTTGTGATGTAGGTAAAAAATTACAGGTATATGCAATCAAAACCAAACGTCCCTGGTTACTCTTGAGTAAAAAATAGTCCTCTATTATAAAAGCCCGGCGTTCCGTTTGTCCGTCCGTTTGCCCGTCAACTAAATTACAAGAGCCTTTCAGAAGGCTTGAATCAAAAAGCTATAGAAAGTGGACCCCTCGACAGATGTGGGGGTACAAAGTTTATCAAAAAATTGTCGACCGCCCCCAAAATGTTTTTTTATTTTGTAGGCAAATATAACTACACACCCTACGTATAATAGAGTCCTGATTTCTTTTGTAGGCAGGAGCTAGAGTAAGGCCGCCGAAATTCTAGTTACTTAAATAAACACTGTGATGGGTAATTAGGTCAAAAAAACTTACGTTTCTACGGGTAAAGATTAGAATGTAGTGGGGTAGTGGTTCGTGCACTGCGCTACAAAGCCAACAAACTGAGTTAAATTCCAAGCCACGGCTCACGTCAATGGCAAGGGACATCTGAGCTCGTCTTGGGAACCCCCCCTCATCGCCCCCCCCCCCTTCACCAGCATGGTGAAGTATGGTCAACCCCCTTGGCCAACATGGTGTGGAGAAGCCTTTGTCCAGCATTGGACTGACAAAGATTTGTTCATTATATTTAATAACTCCTTTCGTTTATTGAGGCAAGACTGAATCTGAAGATGTCTGTTATAGTCCTTACACTGGGATGTTTGGACAATTCAATGAGCGAGTGTTTCAAATGCGAGAGGGAACCGTAGAAATCCAGAGCAATTGACGTCACACAGTTGGATGGGTTGCACAAATCTACTTGCTCTGCTGCCTCATGCTGGCCACTTCGCCGCCCAACACGTATGGGAGTTTCACAAACGCGCACATGATCCGCCATTTGATTGGCACGGTTAGCTACGTACGGTTGCGAAATAAGTTTAACATATATACGCACAACCGGGGGCTTCCACAATCAGGGATTACGGGCATGCGCCGCTGCGCACGGCGCGATTATCATTAATGTCAAGTTACTCCTCTCGGCTCTCTCCCAACGCCATCTGCTGTTCGTTGTCGCCACTACAGCTCCGACCATCGTCGGCTCGCAGATGCAGCATGTGCAGCAGGTGCAGCAAGTGCAGCAGGTGCAACAGTTCCATCAGGTGCAACAAATGCAGCAGGTGCAGCATGTGCAGCAAGTGCAGCAGGTCCAGCACGTGCAGCAAGTGCAAGCTGTTCAACAGGTGCAAGCCGTGCAACAGGTGATGGCACAGCAGGCCTGCCCCAAGCAGACTGTGCCAAAGGGCCCAGCACTGCCCACCGCCAGCCGCACGGGCCCCCTACAAGTAAGTGGACTTGCATAGCAGGTGGACATTGTGCTCCGAGGAGACTTCATCATCACCAGCCATCGTCAGTGCGCTGCTGGTTGAACGCCTCTGCAGGCCACCGCCATCTCCCATCTCGCGTCTCTGACTTGTGTTCGTGACTCGTCGCGTGAATTTTGTGCGCATTGTAAATCTGACATTTGTGATGCCGGGATAATATCAGCGGCGAGTAATACCAGAATCGGTCCCGGGCCTCGCCTCGTCAATTCAGCCCAACGTGTACCTTGTGTGGTCTACAAACATCAGCACTGGGGAGACAAAGGCAGCCGAGCGTAGTATGGGCCAGACCACTCCCTTGTGCATGCAGTGTGCGTCAGCAGCATTTTCCCCAAGTCTGTTAATTATAAATGATTCATTCAAAACGAAGGTTTTCCGAGCCAGTGCAATGATCCAAGTTTGTTTTTGGGTTCTGCCACAGTAGTTTTATGCCCACATTCTTGTTCACCCGACAAGATTTCCACGTTTACAAAGACGGCATTATTATTTTTACGTGGCCGATGTATTGACGATCAAATTCTGACCGATTTGAAGCTCCTCGCTGTTGGCTTAAGACTTTCCTTGACTGAATTCGACGTCGACGTATGGTGACGTTTCGCTCAGACTGCTCTTGCACTTCACCAGGGAGAGAATTCGTGCTTCGAGTGAGAGGCTGCTGCATCCGGCTGTACTCAGGTACTAGCCGTGACGTCACCAACTACCAGAGAATGAGTCATTTCCATTTGTAAATTGGACCTGGCTACTTTTAACGTCAATTATTTCACACAACTGCAAAGAAATCCATTTCATAAATGGCGTTTACTTAATATCTTCGTAAACATGTCAATCTTTTTGAGTGGTGGAGGGTTAATATCAAAAGCTTGGGCATGAAACTACTACGGATGTTTTATGAGTTTTAAATTTGAATACCTGGGATACATTGCTTTATTTTAAACTAAAAGTCTTGTATTTCACAAATTGTATTGAGCATTCATGTAAATGTATTTTATGTGAAGGACTCTGAGACGCCTTTACTGATGCGAACTTCGCTATGCAAATAAAGATTGGTTTATTCGTAACGACTGCACGGGGATCCTTGTCTCTTTGCAGCAGGCAGTGAGCATCATCCCGCTCATGAGCTTGCCTCCCCAGACGACCCCACAGCCAGTGCCGGCACCTCCAGCACCCTGCCAACTACAGACGGCCACGCCGCAGATCGTCACCAACGCCCAGGGTCAGGTGGTCGGCGTCCTCATCGGCAACCAGCTCATGCCCATCGCCGGTCCCGGCACTCAACTGATACAGCCCACGTCTCACTTCCTCCCCATGGACCCCAGCGGACAGCTCTATGCCACCACGGCCGCCGCCACCTCCACGCCGGCGCCCGCCATCAACCAGGTGGCGACGCCGAAGTACAGCGTCGTCGGCAACCAGTTGATAACGGCGGGCGAGCAGCTGCTGGAGGGCGTGAGCTCGCCGACGCAGATAGCCCTGTCGCCGGTAAAGGTGGCGCAGAAGGCCGGCGGCTGCGCGAGCGTGACGTCGCCTCTGAAGATTGTCACGGCGTCGCCGGTTGGCGCGGCGGAGAAGCCGGCCAAGGCCATTAGGAACGTCCCTATACTCAAGCGCAGCAAGCAGGTAGCGGCTGTCGGGTCCATTGCGGGCAGGGGTGGGGATATTTATCTCGCAGCGTGCCAATGAGCGGTAACTTGTTGACGATTGCGCTTTCAAGTGACGGCAACAGAAACGCCAGCGGAGTCTATGGTCAAACGACGCCACGGTGAATCGCGCTCGCATGCATTCGTGTGTGAGTGTTTTATCTGCTAGATACTAAAAAATAATAGTTAACCGTATTTTGTCAATCATCTACTGGATGAAGGCTTCCCCGACGAGATGGTACACATGGAACAGGTAGTAAAAACTAAACAATGATATAAAAGAGGTTTACATTAGAAACAGTATAGACGAGGCAGGACAGACAGGGACAAAATAATCTATTCTTGAAACTAATTCATCCCAACGTTGTGGGTGGTCAATCTTTGCATGGATGAATGTGTAAGAGCGTGATTCATATTTCACCAGTGGAGACCGGTAGACACAGTGATGGTGACCAGACATCATTGTCTCCCATGTGGAAACCTCCCCTACACCACCCCCGCTGCCCCATCCCTGCAGACGGCGCAGTGCAGCGTGCTCCTCGCGCAGCCCAACGGAATCACCCCCACCCAGACGGCTGGCCAGGGGGCGCCAGCAGTCATCAGCGTGAACCTCTCTGCCGGTTCGTGCACACCTTGACATTTTGCTTTTACTGCATTCTTCCAACTCTCCCCTCTCATCTCACTCTACTCTCCTCCACGGTGGCGAGATGTTAACTACCTCACCTGGTGATAATTGTTTTTTTACCCTTTTATCTGGCAACAAAACTGTTTGCATTGACCACAATACCTGCGGTCGGAATGCAAACAAAAAACACAACTCTGATAATGTATGCACTGTCCTTGAAATTGCTTGGTCCACACCCGAGACAGCTTTTCTTAGAGCCGAGCTTTCGTGACTGCAGGGATTCATCTTCTTGGTTCTTTCGGTAAAGTCACGTAGAAGGGAAATAATAAAATAATAAATATAAAACATAATAAAATACAATTCTCACGACATTTTGGCCACAACGCAAGCAAGCCTGAGGACGGCTGCTTGCGTTGTGGCCGAAACGTCGTGAGAATTGTATTTGATTATGTTTTATTATTTTATTATTTCCCTTCTACGTGACTTTACCGAAAGAACCAAGAAGATGAAAACAAATCGCTTAAGAAAATATATAAATAAAACTGAGGTATGAGACTTATTTTTCAGTTAGGAATCGAACCCAGGGCCTTGTTGCTGTGAGGCACGAGTGTTACCTCTGTGCCACCCTGCCGCCCTAATATCAATGATGGGAGTTCAAATCTCGGTTGCGGGTCAACTCGGGGCCCTTGATCCCCCGAAGTTTTGTACAGTCTTGTGTCAATCCACTGCTGGACGAAGGCTTCTCCACACCGGGTCATTCAAGTAAGTTCTTTGACCATACTTCACCATGCTGGTCAGTGTGGACAGGTGAAGTTATGGCGGCTCAGGACCAGTTCAGATGTCACTCGCCACTGATGTTAGCCGCGGCCGGGAACTCCGTTTTAGAGGCTTAAAGCGAAGTGCCCCCAACCTGTTGTGCCACCACTCCACCTCGGCTATAAATTATATTCATTTTAAATTAGGGTGAAGTTAGCTTCATGACAGAAATGTTGCATGATATTTGTTTGATTAACTATTTTATATATGTGGAAACACAGAAAGGCATTGTCCTTCTGTATTCTCTTACTTAATATTCTCTGTAACAATGCATAATGAGGTGATTCATCGTAAGTTTTTCGGGTCAGGCCACGTAACGATCTAGCCAAGACCCTCCGCCGCCCGACAATGGCCAAACAACTTGAATTGGTCACGTGTACAAGCGTTTCAACGTGCCAATTCCCATCGTTTGAGCTTAGACGGTAAATCGGACGTAAAATTCTGACAGCCAAATGTAAAGAATAAGAAATGGCGTTGTGCTTCCGGCATTTAAATGGGGGTGTTTTCTGGGTATCCTGCGAACGTCGGTTTCTGCATCAGCGGAAGAGCGCCCGGGCAGTGGCGTCGGCCTCGGCAGCGGCGCCTGCGGTGCCGGCGGCGCCGGCGGCGCTAGCGGCGGCGGAGTTCTGGACCTGAGCGAGGCCGTGGACCTGGAAGAGATCCGCGAGTTCGCCAAGGTGTTCAAGCTGCGCCGCCTGGCGCTGGGCCTCACGCAGACGCAGGTGGGGCAAGCGCTGAGCGCCGCCGAGGGGCCCGCCTACAGCCAGTCGGCCATCTGCAGGTACCCGGCGAAAACCAGGAGCGCTCGCCGTCTCGTTTAGTCATTTTTGGCCGTGCAAACGTTTATAGTCGTCGATAAACATGAAAGGGAGGTTTAAATGCTTCATTGTTTTGTTTGCTTTAATATCATCATCGTCGTCGTCGTTCATGATCACTCCGCTTCCAGATGAAGCCCTTCCCCGAGTAGATAACATCACTCACAGTTATGCAATGTAACGTTCTTCCATATGTGGCATTAGACTTTTTGGTTTTGCGAATCATGAATGTCGACATCATGAAGCCAGAAGTGCCATTATTGCACGGGATGTGCTTCTCGTGAGGACATCCACTGTCCTCAAATCTCACTCCACCACATCCTTCCATCTCACCATCATTCTTAGCTTTATTATCTACTTCCGCCCCCTGCATCACAAAGCTTCAGTTTTAACTCCATACGTTGCCTCCAAGCGCCCACCCCGTTCCTCACATCGTTGCCTCCCAGTCCACAGCCCGCCCACACACTCACCATGGCCCCTCCCCTCCCTCCATCCCCCGCGACTATATAATTCCTCGTCACAGCCATCTCTGAGACACACTTAAGCGGTTGTGCTTTCGCTATGTTGTCCCCACCTGAGGAAGGACGCTTGTGTTGCGCCCGAAACGTCGTGATTTCATTTAGTTGTTTTAATTTATTTTATTTTTTACCTACGTGACTTTAACGAAAAAACCAAAGAGTATTCTGCTCCTGCTCTCCATAGCCCTTCTACTCCATGGATGTAAGTTTAGGCATTTATATTCATAGTGGATGTGTGGCTTGGCTACACGGCAGTTCTCTAATCCATGTGTTCCTCTTTTCCATCTCTCAATGTAATTCCAAAACATTTTTCGTTTTTGTCACGACTTGTTTTGTTAATGACCACGTTTCTGAACCGTGTACATCACTCGTGTTAGATTATAACTTGGCTAAAAACTATTCTCGGGTGCCTATCCCGCCCGCTGATCCCTCGGCAGGTTTGAGAAGCTGGACCTGACGCCCAAGAGCGCGCAGAAGATGCGCCCCATCCTGGAGCGCTGGATGGGCGAGGCAGAGGCGCGGCACCGCATGGGCACGCATACGCTCACCGACTTCATCGGCAGCGAGCCGTCCAAGCGGCGCAAGCGGCGCACGTCCTTCACGCAGGAGGCGCTCGCCATCCTCAACACGCACTTCGACGTGGGCATGCACCCGACGAGCGCCGAGATGACGCAGATCGCCGAGCAGCTGGGCTACGACCGCGAGGTCGTGCGCATCTGGTTTTGCAACAAGCGCCAGGCGCTCAAGAACACCATCAAGCAGATCAAGCACCACCAGCACATCCAGCAGAGCTTCGCCGCCAGCGCGCAGGCAGTGGCTGTTAGTGCCGCAGCCCCCGCGACCTCCGTCGTCACTGCCACCACCGCGGCCATGGACACGTCCAACGTAGAGCAGGTCTTGGTGATGGTGCAGGCAGAACATGACGCGCCGGATGCCACCGCCGACACCAAGGCCGGCGCGGGGCGTGGTACGAACGAGACAGAAACGTTGGGGGACGCAAGCGCGATGGAGGGGCCCGTGGATGGCGGCGGTGCTGGTGAGGAGGTCTCGGCCGAAGCTCTGATGAGGGCGCTGGGCAAGGTGGTGTGAGAGGGCGAGGAGCGCTGACGCGGTGTGGCAGCAGCATGGCTTCCGTGTTCTGGCGCTCGCCGCTCCACCACTGGCGAGTTCAACTCGTGTTACCGGGCGGTGCCGCGTTTTGTCTGTTTTTAAACAGGAACTAGTGGGAAGTGGTGTGTGCCATTTCCCACACCACTGTTGTCTGTTTTTCGGAAAGTATTTTAATTCCAGGAAATATTGCCTTGAAGCGTGCCCATTACAGTGAAAAAGAGGTGGAAAGAGGGGTGGAAGGGGAAAGAAAATATAAAGTTACTTTCTGGCAACACAGAACTTGTGGAGGAATGACAATTCTGCCAAATCAAGGGGCAGGAGATAGCTACAGAAAGCGATCGCACCTCTGTAAACTCGTCTGCGATTCTGGACTTCACTGCTTATCACTACTGCCGATACAATCGTATAACATCAGTGCCTGGTTTTTGTGGTTATGTTAGAAATTTTACTCTGAAATTGCTCCCATTGCTTGCCGAGCAGTCTGTTAAGGCACCCACAGTGGTTTTGTTTTGAGTAAAATGGTTTAGCAGTTTCAGAATTAAGCCCCCTACGAGCACTGTCTCAAAACTCATCTCTGCAGATTGTAACTTTTTAAAACGAGCTACTTAAAAAACATGTTAGTGGGCTGTTCCTCGGAGGCGTTCTCAGCCCACGTTGCAATGACTTCCAGCTATAACATTTAATCAACTTGCTCATTCGCGTCATTAACACTAAACCACCGTAAGTGTTTGCAGGTTTTATTCGTCGCGTGTTCGTTCTACTATAAAGCGATCAGCCACACAGGGTCATTAGCTTCGTAGAAGCGACATTGAATCCCTGGTGGAGACGCGTGGCTTCAGCCCAATTGTGTGTGCACTGTTGGTAACCTGAACTACCCCAATGCACGCTACCACACCTGCACCTTGTTCCAAGCGTGCTGGCTGTCAACAGGTGCTGTGTGCCCGGGTTATGACCTCTGCGTGTATCTGACCATCAAAGCAGGGCGGTGTCAAAACGGCTGTGAACGGCTTTCATGACCGCGTTTTTGCGATTCGGCATTGAAAGCCCCACATTCCCCACCCTCGAGCCCTCTACTGCCCCGCTGAGTGTAGCTCAGAGCACTGTCAGTTATATGTATATAGCAACACGTGTTTCAGAGGTAAACTTAAGTTTCAACCATCATGCTGACTTAAGAAAGACAAGGGAGCTTTTGCAGGGCATATCACTCGACAGAATGTTGACCGGTGGCCGAGGCTAAACGGGAGAGTGACACCCAAAAGGGAGGGATCCGAAACGCTGGCCGTGAGAAAGTCGACTGTTGTGAAAATGGAGCAATGAAACCATCTCATATCATGAGACCACGAGAGAGGGCCGTGGTCTTGGGAAGGCCTCGATCCAGCAGTGGAATGATCAGGATTGCTGATGGCAAAAAAACAATTAAAACCGCACTTTTGTTTGGGTGGCTGTTTGGTAACGTGGAGGTACGGTGCCAAGGGTTCAAGTGAAGGGCCCACCATTAACCACCAGTAGCTGACGATAGCGTCTGCTCTTTAAATAGCTCAACCATTATCAATGTCCACTAAGGTTATTCAGACCACTGAGCATGGTAAAAATTCAAGCTCGAGAGCGAATAAAAAATATCGGGGGGGGGGGGGGGTGCGATGAACATTTCTGTGCAGCGGGGGGGGGGGGGGGGCATGTGGGACTTTCCCCACGTGTGTGAATGATAAAGGTCGTAGAGATCTCAGAAGCTGTTCTGTAGTTTTCAACAGGCCGTTCGCTAACATGGGACGGAACTGCGAATTCCAAATGGACACCTTGCCTCGTGCTGCCGTAACGGTCGCCAACACAATCGCAATAAAATTGTGAAAATGATGAATAGGGAACAACATTTTTTTTAAGTTGAAAAAAAAATTGAGAGGGCTTTACTTATTTTCGTGGGTTTTTTTTTTTTACAAGGAGGCTTACCCCTCGTCCCGAATGGGACGCGGTATGTTCACCCGTGATACACGTGGTACACCGAAAACGTTCTCGTATTTAACCACGTGATATTCCATTGAGGTTATTACAATTTTATATGGGTCATATCACTAACCAAGCATTACCATGGGTTGTTTTAATTCTATGTACAATACACGAGCACTGCCCGGGCAATTGCACGGGATACGCGGCCAGAGTGGAGATTGGGGGGGGGGGACAGCTGTTGGGATGCAAGCGACGTCATCACGCAGATGTGCGTGAAGCACGCAACGCCAGCCAGCAAAACTTAATTCCAGTACAACTCTGGATCTTAAATTAACAGCGATGTGTCGATCAATTTCTGGATGAGGGCCTTGCAACGGTGCGGGTCAATGGGGGTTGTTTGACCACAACTTCACCACACTGGTCAGTACCGGTTCGTCGTGATGGGGGTGTGGTATCAGGCCTGTTTCTAATGTCACTCGATCCACTGCTTTTCGCAGGGGCCTGGGAACTCCGACTCGGGATAGCCAGATGCGGAGCCCAGGGCGCTAATCACTGCAACCACTACTCTGCCCACCGCATCCGAATATGTAATTCGAAAAAAAAAATCGTTTTTTACACCCGCGGTTCAATGCGTGCATTGTCAGCGTTATTGATATTCTTCGATGTATCATAATTTACCAGCAATTACTGAGCAGATGTGGCAATAATAAAATAGAACCACGTGCAGTCAGGCTTGGTATAAGAGTGAACTCTCGTCTTATTGATGAGGCACATTTTAAAGGAGCAGTACGGTTTAAATGGGGGTGTTATGTTTGCAGTAACAAGGCCCACAGTGATGTCTACTGCTGTACAAATACAAATTGTGCTTTTAAATATAAAACAAGGTTCTCAAATGGGCGTTGACCGGTGCCCAACGTTATCGATCCTACACCAGTGTGGAAGTTCCACATTCACATGACGTGAGATTGTCTGGGTAAAGGCGCAACTCTGCAATTGATTGCTCACCCCTCTTGAACAAGACGGCCCTTCTTGGGTTAACAAGACTAACCCTCATAATTGTGATGGCATTGTTACGTTCTCGTGGCAAAGACTCAGTCGACCCGAAGTTGCCAATGTTTACCTACCATCCAAATAACCGAAATTCCATGATCATGTGGCAAGGCTCAGCCCATCCTTAGCTACCATTGGTTGACCTCACAAGTGGTGAAAACTCCACGTTACTATGGCAGAGGTCAGTTGATCCTAAACCACGAAAAAAATCGCTCGCCTGGTTGGGTGCTATTTTAACTACCGTGACGGGGATGGTGGTGATGATGGGCGACTGATGGCTGATATCCGGCGTGTATACAGTGCGTGTACTGTGCCTGCGGGTGACGTCATTTCCCACTGTACAGTGCTCGGGGTCGACCACGTGGCTGCCTGTTTATCATGCTCGTTTTTATTTAACTTTAAATTAACGGCGCGATTTAACTCTACACGAGATTTAGTGTATGTTATTATTTTATTTCTTACGCGTTTACAATTATAGGAGTAATAATAAAAAAAAGATTTGTATACAACAGCTGTGCGTTCCTTGCAATAGCTATAAAACGACTGCGTGTACACGTCAATCCACGGCTGCACGAAAACAATAGTTTCTTTTTATTAATTTTAATTTCATTTTTTATCTACGTGACTTTACCGAAAGAACTAAGAGTATGAATCCTTGCAGTCACGAAAGCTTCAAATCTAGAATTCACTACCTCTGGCCACAATGCGGGGCCGGATAAGCAAGCACTTGTAGTTGGGGTTTTGTTACACTGCCCCCTGCTGCCCAGAGACACATGTGACGCACACTGGAACGCATGGCGGGGGGTGATGGAAGTTGAGCGAGTCGGGGTCAGATTTGCAAGTTTGTTGTTTTGCTAACCCGGCGCTGCAATGGGGCTACGACCCATTATGCAATGTGCCAGTAACGTTGTACAATGTAGCTGCTAATACAAGTGAGTTTGTGTTTGTAATATTTTTGTTTATTGACAGATTTGAAAACTTTAGTAAAAAAAAGTGGAATTGTTCTCGGTTCAGTCTCCAGCTATTAATAACTCTTACCTCTGGTCTCTCTGTGTATGTTGTGTGAAGGGTCATTGCCCGAAGCGTCGCCTATAACACAATGTTTCTTTTCAATCCAGTGTTATTGACGAAATCTTAGATGTCCTAATCAAAGAGACCAGATGGCTCAATGAGCCATTCTGTCTACAGGAAAGTAGCCCATAATGACGCCGACCTAAAACCTGATTCCCACCACCATCCATCCCAGGAGAATTCCCTCATCAAAAGCTACACCACAGAGCTCAATATATCTCCGACCATGAACACCTAACCAGTGAACTCAAACACGTACACCAAGCCATCAAGGCGAATGGATATTCTAACTACACAATCCGCAAAGCCATCACCCAAACCGTGAGTAAGGAGCCATCTGAGGATCCAATCAAAACATCACCTTGCCATACATAGCAGGGGTAACCAAAATATTTCCAAAATCATGAACAAACACAAGATCCAGGTCCGATTTAACACCGGATATTAAATTAGTGATCTGATCCCATCTGTGAAGGACAAGATTCCTGACATGCAATATCCCGGCGTCGACAAACTAAGCTGTGCCTGAGACAGTAGTTACATTGGGGAAACTAAACGACATGTCTCGGACCGTGTTCGTGAACATAAGGCAAATCTGAAACGGTAGGGCCAATACCTCAGCCGTGGCTGATCATTATTTTAATGGGGCTGGCTCACACGAAATGCATTTCTCTAAAACGATGGTACTTTGCAAACCTACTGGCAATCAACCAAGATTCGTTCATGAAGCCATCCACATATACAGCCACAATTTCAACCGAGAGGATGGTTATGAACTCGGCAATCATTGGAAAGATGTCATCAACCACTTTGGGTCGTGACTTGTGTTTTCTTGTCAACCTCCGCCATCAGCAGTGTGGGTATGTGGAGCGAGGTGCAATGATTGCCTGGCGGCCCTTTGATTGCTTTCTCCTACATTAACATTAGCTGCCCTGCCCATGCTGCTGACATACTCGAAACCTTTATCAACAGTTTGCCTTTTGAGGCTAACCCCCATTTTCCTGATGACGACCGCTTGTGTTGCGATCGAAACGTCGTGGTTTGTTTTTATTACTGAAAGAACCAGAATAAGTCTACATTATAGACTGCCAGTACACTCACTCAGCTTAATAACCAGGCTACAGTCTACATTATAGACTGCCAGTACACTCCGATTAACAACCAGGCTACAATCTACATTAGTGGTTTAATTTTTTTGTTATTTTTATTTATTTTTATTAACTTTATTTTTATATCTACGTGACTTTACCGTAAGAACCAAATAATGAACATTTTGGGTTTATCGAATACAATGTAAACTACTAAGCCACACCCACTTATATAAACATCCCCGCTAAGCCACGCCCCCTCATTAGCATAACGCCTCCCCCCTATGCAAGGCCCCGCCCATTCCAACACTCAGCACTGCGAAGGGACCCGCCCCCTCCCCCTAATTGAATATTCATGAGGCGCGAAGGAAACGCTCCCTTTGACCCCGCCCACCGGCTTCCGGTTTTGCTTAGTAAACGGCAAGGAGCCGGGGCGTCCATTTTCTGGTGCAAAGCTCAGGGAGCCGCATCCCAACAACAAAAATCCACAGCCATCCTCAATCGCGCAGCCTCGGCTCGAGCCCCGCCGTCCGCCAAAACATAGCCCGACCGATAATTAACCCTCCTGAACGAATATGGGCCAAATAATTGGACGCGAACATAAAAACTTTTCTTTCCAAAAAAAGTGATGACCGTCAATGTAAAATGGAGCCCGATCATGAGCTTGTAGGCATGAAGGACGACATGGCTTCGGGAAGCCAAGTGAACGCCCATTAATACTACTTGTAATATACTATTAAATACTTTAAAACAAAGAGAGATTAAAAAGAGAATAAACTTAACTAGGGCCGCTTCGTCTGTCTGCCTTCGTCACTGCGTGTCGTTCAGACTGGGGTGGGCAGGCAGAGGCAGTCACTACTTGGAGCAACAACAAAAATATACAACTTGTAAATAGAATTATAATAGTAGCAACAATAGTACAAAGTGAGTAGGAGAAGCGGGACACTTCCTCCTCGTGTCTGGTTGTCTGATTTAAATCCATTGTTAAAGTAGCGCCAAGTTTCTCTTCTATTTTTTTTCCTATCCCGGCCCGTGCTGAGGGCCCCGTAGACTACTGCAGTCCTCTGGTCGAACTTAACCAACAAACTGCGGAGTTAGAAAAACCTTCCAGCTAGCAGCAGTGAAACAACGACGCCTTTAATTGTGTGGGGGAGGAGGTGTGTAACCACAGCGTAATTTAAGAGTTAGTTATAGCTTAAGGTGAAGAAGAGAGAGGGGGGGGATGTGTCGGCAGTGGGCCGCCCTCTGCCTCCTGACCTGAGTGCGGCGCAAGAGAAGGCGACGCAGGCCCCCGACGAGGAGGATAACAACAACAACATCATTACAAAGGCGGCCACAGACATCACGTAAACGCCATGCCGAGCTCCGAGGTTCAGCAGCAGCAGCAGCAGAGGAGAACTCGCAGCCCGGGGCAATCGAGGGCCCGGGAGAGGAGGGGGGCCGAGAGGTCCCAGGGCCGCGACCCGGGCT